GTCAAGTGAGCCGCCCACTTAAGGAGGATAGAGGCACGCGATGTTGCTTTTTAAGATGCCTGCAGCGGAAGGAATGCCACGCTCCACGGCACGCGCTGAGGAAACTTGGCTTTGATGAAGTTCTGCTGAGTTTTGCGAGACATACGGAGACCTTGGCAGTTTGTTGCGGCTCGTGCTGTTGCAGCCCATGGACAGATGGATAGTGGAGAATGAAGAGAGACGGGTGTGCGAGCAAGAGGGACAGTAGTACGTGACGACTTGTGTAACCCTCGGCCCGTGCACGCTCGGCTTCCACTCTAGCCCGTTACTCCTTTCCTACTGTAGTAACCGTTGTGTTACATCGCAGTAACTACTCCCTTAGCCTACAGTCTCTAGTATTATCTGTATTGTGATACCAACCATGTGACTTGTCGGCTGAGTCAAAGACGTTCTTCCAATGATTGATGCCCAACCTTATCTCGCTATCATGAATGTATACTGCTTGCTTGGGCTTTATGTTGAGCTTTGGTGTATTTCATTCTGTATGTCTCTCGCTCACTGATATCGCACATGGTCGGTTACGTTGCATCGCGATGATATTCCGCTCCACTCTGTTATCTCTACTCTGCTGCCTCCTTCGTCTGTCTGTATCAGCCAGTTGAGACGGGGTGTATTCTGGTGGATGCTACTGAAGCAGGCATCGCGATATCGACTGGACAACTGATAAGAGACGTGTTCTGTCGAAGGACACCACAGAACTGTCTGTGGGGTATTACGAGGACACCTGACTCCCTACACACCTGACTTCAGAGTGATTTCATTTTCGCGTAATTCTGCCTGCTGTACCCGATGTTGTGCAGCTCTTAGGCTACTTTTGCTCTGCCTAAGCCATCAGCCTCTGCATCAGGCTACCGATAGGTCCTATGGCTTTCTTGCCCAGCACTGCATCTCGAGTACCGTCTCTTTTTCTACACACCGCTTTTTCGATCCGGCCATCTTTGGTGATGCTCATCGCCACTGTCCGCCTGTCGGACCATGTGATGGTAATCTGTCTGACCGCAGCATCGGCTTCGATGTCCAGAATACGTGCGGCTCCATCCCCGTCTTCAGATGCGTCAATATCAGAACTGGCATCATCGTCGCTCACAAATGCGTTCAGGATGTTGCTAGTTGATGCAATTGCCAAGTCCTCGCTGTCCCGTCTTTGCTTGATGAGCCCTGCCTCTTTCCTCAACTTTCTTACAGCATCAATTCGCATGTTCCAGCTCACAAGCTCTTTCCGTAGTAGACGCCCGAAGCGTACCAAGTCCTGCTCTGGATCATGTTCCTCATCTTTCCCGCTTCCCGGTAGCCATTTGGCAGCCAGCTGCTGGAGTGGTATGCATGGAGGAATGGTGTGTTTGTGGATGCTTAGAAGTTTCTTTTCTCCCTTGTCTCGAACGCTCAGCAGAACATGGTACGTCTCAATGAATTTCTCGGCGACAGAAACATCAATGCTAACACCGAGGATGTTGCCGTCATTGGCTGCATGTGGGTCTGGATCTTTGACTCTGTAGGCAGTTACGCCAGCGCATGCACGATATACGTTTTCAAGATTGCGCTTTGATTGTTGCGCGATAATTTGCTGGGCATTGTCGGAAGATTTGCTGCGTTCATTTCTGTTCTGAAGACGTGCTGCGAGGTGGGGTTGCGACACCAGGACTGACGACAGGTTCGCGCGCTGGGCTTGTAGTGTCGCTAGGCGAGCGTGAAGGTCACCAATTTCGTCGTCGAGCTGTTTGACTGTCTCCATTTTGGGTTTTGTGTGTTGATGTTGGATAGACAGTAAACACAGTATGTGCAAGTGATGCGACGCTGTTCCACACGCGTCGACAGGTTCGGCGCGTTGGCACGTGAGTAGGTGTGGCGTGGGTAGGGGTCAAGTGGCATGAACACCCCCGGCTCGCCTAGTGCTGCACCGCCGTTCCTAAACTCTCATTGAGGACACGGTTGAAGCGTCAGACGCACCTCGGTTCCGTGGCGATAATTGTTGCATCTGCATCTGTTAGTGCTGCTGATCATAAATCCCTCGCTCTTTTTGTTTGCTAGTCGCTCTCTACCCAGGAACACTTTTCAAGGATTTCATCTGCTCTTTCCTTCGCCCCAAACCCCTAGTCGCTGATCCCTGACATCACCCACCTGCCCACAGACACAGACGACTTGTGTCACCAACATCTACGCCGAGATTCCCGCTATTTCCCCTCATCGATTCCAATCGGGTCAGTAACGCACACAAATGAGCAAACGAGGCTCGCGATCCAAGAATCGTGGCTCTGTACTCGGAGAACAGGGCTCGACCGACTCCCTGAAGGAAAAGAAGAACAGCGATGCAAACACGACCGCGACCATGAACGGCGTCATATTGGAACATCGGCGCAAGCATGCTTCTTTTGATAGCACTTCGCCCTCGAGTCAGGCTGCGTCGCTGATGGGTAATCCCAACTTCTCGCTCGATGACGAAGTACCCAAGCTTGGAGAGGAGGACGAAGGACCATCCAAGGGCTTTTTTGAACTTTCAAAGAAGGACCAGAGCAACTTCTTGTTGCTGGTTCTACTGTACTTTCTCCAGGGTATACCTATGGGTCTGGCGCATGGCTCCGTACCGTTCCTCTTGAAGCACAGCGTCTCCTATGCGGCGATTGGTGTTTTTTCGCTTGCCGCGTACCCATACTCATTGAAACTTCTCTGGAGCCCAATCGTAGACGCGGTCTGGTCGCCTACCATTGGCCGTCGCAAGAGCTGGATCCTGCCGATTCAGACAATCTCTGGGTTTTCTATGATTTGGCTGGGCAAGAACATCAACCGCTTGATGAAAGAAGCTGGCGAGACAGACAGCAGGGTGTGGAACTTTACATGGTGGTGGTTCGCGCTTGTGTTCCTGTGCGCCACCCAAGACATTGCTGTAGATGGTGGGTGACACTTCTATACTTAAAGTGACAATACTAACAATGCCAGGCTGGGCACTTACTCTTCTCTCAAAGGAGAATCTCGCATACGCCTCTACTGCCCAAACTGTCGGCCTAACCGCAGGCCAATTCCTCTCGTACACTGTATTTCTGGCCTTTAACTCGAAGGATTTTGCGAACAGGTGGTTTCGCAGCACTCCGGCAGAAACGGGCATCATGGAGCTAGATGGCTATCTCAGCTTCTGGGGCTGGGCGTACCTGATTGTCACCTTTGGATTGGCAGTCATGAAGCGCGAAGACCGCGACAGGAACGGTGACGGCATTGGAGAGGTGTACCGCACCATGTGGGGTATCCTCAAGTTGAAGAACATTCAAAGCTTCATCATTATTCACCTCATCGCAAAGATTGGATTTCAAGCGAACGATGCTGTCACGAGTCTGAAGCTCTTGGATAAGGGCCTAAAGCAGGAGCAGTTGTCACTCGTCATCCTGGTGGACTTTCCCGTTGAGGTTTTCTTGGGCTACTACATTGGCAAATGGTGCCAGACGTATCCTCCCATGCACATTTGGTGCTGGTCGTTTGTTGGACGCCTGGTCGCTGCAGGATTTGCGCAGTTTGTTGTATCGATTTTCCCTGCCGGAGGTGCGTCAAGTGGATTCCTCCTGCTCGTCATTGCGGAGCATGTGCTCTCGACTTTTATGAACACAGTCATGTTTGTCGCCGTCAGCGCCTTCCACGCTAAGATCTCTGATCCGTTGATCGGCGGTACGTATATGACTCTTCTCGCCACGTAAGTTTAGCTTGCCTCATCACACCACTTGGATTTGTAATTGACTTGAAATGCAGTGTCTCGAACCTGGGTGGAACATTCCCACGCTACTTTGTTCTCAAGGCAGTTGACATGTTCACCTCGGCGACTTGCATGCCGCCTGCTGATGGGCTCAAGGCTGGCCTGAAAGGACCCCTCGTCACGCAACCTTTTTCGTGCGCCGTTGAAGCTGAAAAGCATCGGTGCGTAGAAGGAGGAGGTGTGTGCAACGTCACGACAGACGGATACTACATTGTCAACATGCTATGTATTTTGATTGGAGTATTGACATTCTGGGGATATATCAAGCCTGCAGTGATGAGGATACAGGCGTTGCCAATGCGTGCATGGAGAATTGCTGGGTAGAGGCCCGCGGACACGTGTATTATGTAAGGCATAGGGCTAGAGCCTGTTGTGGAACGAATGCACCCTGCAAGATTGCTGAAGGCTTCTGCTCGGTTGCGACAGTCAATGCGAATGCTTGTATTCACTACAGCGTGAGGCTGAAAAGTTTAAAATCAATGTACTTGAGACGATGGCGAGTTTCCAAGACGCTTGCGCACGTTTGTCCCGCGCTCGCGCGCTCTCCCGTGACCAGGCGTGTGTGGGTAGCCAATAGTTCGAGACCTGATGCAACTGACAAAGACGCAACTGACAAAATACGCCGAAGATGCCGAAGGACTGGAACCGCGGCGGTGCAGTTTGGCTTTCTTGGGATTTCTGACATATGCATATCAGGCCATGTGTGTCTGCAGCGGGCCGGCATTAGTGTGGCAAAACCCTTAAAGAGAGCCCTGTACCTGCGCGCATTCTGATAACACCAGCACATTTCCAATCACGACATACATCAAAGCACCTACAAACCAAACAGGGCCCCCAGTAAATGTCGACGCTTAGCTGAGTACGGCTAGTCGCTTGGACCACGCGTTTTGACATCTGTCGCAAGCAGCCTGCTAGACTTAAATTTCTCTTTTGGCCTTTCTTCCCTTGATTCCTATTCGCCTACAGCCATACCGCAGTCTGCTACTTAAGTATCGCTTCAAACTCCCCTAACCTGAATCCGACTATACGCCCCGATTCTACCTCATCGCCGACCGCCAGTTGCGCTTTTAAAGAGTCGAGTCGATTCCACACCGATTCCGCCGAGTTGCTGTCGTCGCCATCAACTTTGCGAACCGACTTGGACACGCAGCATCGCCCCCAACTACCTAGACCTTTCCTCTCGTGTCGCGCGTCGTCCTTTTGTTACACAACCTAGCCAGGAGCAATGGCCTACTCAGCATACCAGCCCAAAGCGCGGGTACAAAAGCCTGCGCCTCACTTCACCGGCACTGCTGTTGTCGATGGTACATTTGAAGGTACATTGACATGGCCCTTGACAAGACAAGGCGATATATACTAACCATCTCTGCCCAGAACTCAGCTTGACCGCCTACACATCCACCAAGCAATGGCTTGTCCTTGGCTTCGTCCCCATGGCCTGGACTTTTGTCTGCCCGACTGAGATTCTTGCGTTTAGTGATCGCGCCGCCGATTTCGCCGCCCGCGGCGCCAGTGTCGTCTTCTCCAGCACAGACAGCGAATACAGCTTACTCGCGTGGACCAACGCAAACAAGAGAGACGGAGGGCTCGGCAAGATCAACATCCCCCTGCTTAGCGACAAGAACCACAGCATTGCAAAGGACTATGGTGTCTTGATTGAGGAAGAGGGCATTGCCCTCCGTGGACTCTTCTTGATCGACCCCAATGGCATTGTACGACAGATCACCATCAACGATCTTCCTGTCGGACGTTCAGTAGACGAGACGCTCCGTCTGATTGATGCTTTCCAGTTCACAGACAAGTACGGTGAGGTACGTACACCTACTACATGGTCTTCCAACCCTTGTACATGTGGAGTTGAATGCTGACTTTGGTTCCCTAGGTCTGCCCCGCAAACTGGAACCCCGGTGATGAGACTATCAAGGCGACCCCCGAAGGCAACAAGGAATATCTTGCTAAGGTCCACGTTGACACCAAGATGTCGGATGTCGCGGCCAAGACAAATGGTAAGTCTACATCGCGCTGGACATGGCCACATGTCGGAGAATGCTGTGAATGCAATGTGCTGACATCTATATCTTGCAGGTACTTCTTGAGTTAGATTGTTTGAGCTTGCTGAATCATGCGATGCTAGCATCTCGATGTTTCGAGGCTGTCTGCATTGATAGGCGCTGCTTTGGCATCTGTAATTAGTTTTCGGCCCTACAGCTTCACCATGCTGTCTTAGCGATCAACATTCCCCTCTATAGACCGTAGAAATTCTAAAGTATGTAATCACCGCGCCTGTTAGTCCTGCACGCCAAGTAAAATGGTGTTCCAGGCACAGCGGTATGATGCAAGCGTGCTATACGAAGATGCGGTCCAAAAGTTCGGTGTGGATTTAATCAAGCGGTGCATATTGTGAGACAGATTGTCCAATCATCAATCCAAACGCGTTGCATGTATATACCGTGTATGGAATGCATGCGTTAGCGCTCGCTTGGCACACGGCTTTGCGCGAACGCCTTCGGTCTACCCCTTTCGATAAGGTCCACGAGCGACTCTCCAATCATGGAGCCGCGACTAAATGCATTACTAGACCTCTCCAGCCCAGGCGGTATGCCCTACGCGACAAATGCACCCGATGCTACTACGTCCAGCTCGCATAGGCCACCGCACCAAGCCGATTCTACTTTTGTGCGGCCCAAAGCGCTGATGCCGGCGAACTCATCGTCGCCAGACAACACCCAGGCCAACGACTTCCGAAAAGAAGTACATGACAAGATCCACCCAACCCGAGCAATGCCTAGTGCTCCTATAGCACAGGTACTCAACAATGAGGCCAATCTGCTTTCTTCACAATCTGTTCCCAATACTTTTGCTCCCTCCACGACCCCATTCAGCGGCCGACTAGTGGATCTCCTGCTCGAGAGTCCCGAGCATACAAAACAACGATGGGACCAGGACCAGCAATTTTTGCAGCCCGATAATACGGGATACAGCCCTTCTGTAATCAAGCTCCCAAGACTTCCACAGCCTCCCAAGAAAACGGCAAAACGGCCTAGGATACCGCCGCTATTACAGGGCTTACATCAGCCTCCACCTTTACCACCTGAGGGCAGATTGTTCCCGCCGATCACTGGAGAAAAGAATGCATTTGCTGGTGAAAGAGGATACGATTCACTATTTGAAGAACCAAGAGGTAAAGATGTCGATGACCATGCTTTTCTTGACAACAGTGCCCAGGAACTCGTTAGGAGTGCTCAGCATGGCGAGTATGGTCCAAATAGTCAGGCGACAGCACAGAATGCCCCGCTGAGTGGAATGCCTACTGTTCAAGAGGCCAAAACACAGTTAAACCAGGAGATAAGCCCTCCTAGTCAAACCCAGACTAAGCGTGGAAAGAAGCGAACCAAGTGGTCAGAACAAGAGACAAAGGATCTGCTTATAGGCGTGAGTAGATTTGGTATTGGAAGCTGGAAAAAGATACTGCAAAGTCCAGACTTTACATTCAACAACCGAACTGCTGTTGACCTGAAAGACCGATTTCGCGTGTGTTGTCCTGGTGAAGGTTTGAAACCCAGGCAACCAAGGGCCAGCGTCAAGGAAAAGCACTCAGTGGACGTTGTACATACCCATCCTGACAGTCACGGTAAGAGTGCAGAACAAGTGGATAAGACAAACCACTCTGCTTCTGCATCCTTAGACTCTACAGTAGCAACGCGTACAACCAAGGCTACCGCTACAATGCCCAACCTCTCCGAGCTGGGCATCCATGAGCCCTTTTCCAAAACAGCACGCCGCCCGCGACGTCCCTTCACAGCAACCGATGATGTAAACCTTCTCAAAGGATTCGAAAAATACGGCCCAGTCTGGCACTCCATGCGCGACGACCCAGAGCTCGAATTCGGCTCACGACACGCAACAGACTTACGTGACCGATTCCGCATCCGCTACCCAGAACGCTACGCAAGAGCAGGCTACAAGCTCAAAAGCAAAGAAAAAGAGCGAGAAAGAATGCGAAGAGGCATCGACATGGAAATCGACACCATATCAGCCGTAGAACCCCCCACATCCCTCACTACATCCAAAGACAAAAACCCCGACGACCCAAACACCATCACTCTATCTAAACCCACAAACACAGCACCGCCATTATCCTACCCACCCACCAACAGCATCTCCCTCACCTTCTCCCAACCCTCTCTCACCTCCCACCTCCAATACACAACTAACGCGACAACCACCACCGGCGGTCCATCCCTCAAACCCTTCACAACATCTTCCTCCTACCTCGCCGACCCCTTACCCACGCTCTCCTTCTCCGACGAAGAAGACATCACAGACGACATGGCACATAACGCGCATTCGGGCGGCGGCGACCAAAGCCCCGTGACGTTGAGTCGGAATATTCTTCGCTGGGCAGATGCGAATCCCTCGTCTTTGTATTCTTTTGTGCCGGGGGCGGGATATAGAGCTGCTAGCGGAAGCATCGGTGGAGGCGGCGGTGCAGGAGAGAGGATGATGGGGTTTGGAGGCGGCAGTGAAGGTGTGGGTGGAAGTAGTAGTAGTGGTGCTGCTGCTGCTGCGTTGGGTGGGGGACAACAACAGGCGCAACTGGGGCAGCAACAAGGGGATGGGATGATGATGAGGAATAATATACTTCCCGAAGCGGAAGGGTGGTCGTTTGCGGATCGAACAGCGAGTCTGGCGTCATTCAAATATCGAGGTTGAAGCAACGAAACGAAAAAAGGGAGAGAAAAAAATGGTAATGAAGTCACAGGTTAAGGTTATGATGGTATAAACGAGATACACAAGGGATATATAAATACATGGGGAAATTTGCATCTTGATTCATTATCTTTCCTTCTCATTAACGGAACTCCAGAGTCCTTGAATTTTACCTTGCACTCTGACACACAGCCAGACAAAACAGTCTAAAATCGCCTTTGGTCGCTTCTTCAAGGTCTTCTTCGACCATGCGTCCGTACTTCTCCTCGTACTCGTTCATCACGCGCATAAGGTGCATGCGGTCCCAGTGGAAGCGTACAAGGCGCGAAATGAGCAGCTCGACGCGCTGTTGGCGGTCGTGTTTGCTGGATGTAGAAGAAATGCGGCTGCCAGAGGAGCGGCCATCGGCGGCGGGTTCGATGAGATCGATGAGGGCGTGGTGGAGGAGCATGGCGTCTCGTGCGGGTCGGTTGACTGGGGAAGGTTAGTATACACGAATCTCTTTTGGAATAGCAGTAGTGAGACAAGAGGAGGTGACTTACTAACGCCGTTGAGAATATGCGCAATGACTTCGCCAACGAGGTTGTTGCTCTTCTTCAGTGCGTCTCGTGCAAAGTTCCCTTGATACTTTCGCTCGTACGTTCGTAGCACCTCGCGAAGGTGCGCATCGCTGCGCATGACAACGATGCTCAGCATGACGCTTTCGCCGCCTTCTCTGGCGTTAATAGCTTTCCACAGCGTATCGACGTCGCGGTTGCGGTACTCGGCTGGCCATACATCGCTTTCTTCCTGCCGTGTGGCATCCAGCGCCATCAAGATAGCCTTGCGGAACTTGTCTGCCTTGAGCTCCTTGTCCATGCAGCGTGTAAGTGAGTCTCCGTATCGCTTGTCCTTGAATGCATCTTTGATCTCGCGAACCTCGTGATTTTGGCGGCCCATGAGGGCTTCAATGAGAAGTTCACGGCGCGCTGAGTTGGACTGGTACCAGTAGTTGGCCCAGTAGCCCTCGCTCTCGTACTTTCCAAGAGCAGTCACGTACGCAATCTTACCAAAGTTGCCGCTCGTCTTCAACTTGATATGCTTGGCGATGTTGATTCCCCTGCCCTGAACTTTGCAATGTCGCTTATACTCAGCTCTCAGTTCGAGCATCTGGTCGTGCGAAAGTATAGGGATAATGTCGATGATGGTATCCACGTTGGGTGTCCGTCCAGCCATGGCATGGACAAGTGCAAGAGCATCATCAGTAGCATCATATATCCTCACCCGGCGTTTGTCCTTTTCCTTCTCTTGGTAACGGTCGCCAGAGCCATACGCCGCCAGAGCCAGTTTGTCAGCATGTTTGGAAGGCCGCGACCGGCTTGGAGATCGACGCGAGGACGAAGGAGCGCGGCTGCGGCTGCGTCCGTGCTTAGAACGGCGAGTATCTCGGGGTTCGAGACTATCGAGCGGTTGCAGGTCGTCGAGGTCGTCGTCCAACATCAGTGCCTGTGGCATAGGACTGATTGACTGATAAGTACCATGGTAGGCTTCAAGAAGAGGACTCGGTGGTGGAAGTCCGCCAGGATATCCGCCAGGTAGGCCTCCAGGTACAATCGTCTGCAAGTCAGGCCTATTGCCGCTCACAGACAACCTGTCCATGCGCAACCCCTCAGGTTTACCAGGTGCACCAAGGTGACCCTGCGGGCGCATTTCTACAACATTGCGACCCTCAGTCGGACTCATGACTCCAGAGTACGAAGACGCACGGTGGTGATCGGAGCGCGGCGAGTGACGACCCATTGGAGGAGGTGGGAAGTGTTGCCCATTAGCCGAAGGCGGAGCAGGAGCTTGTGGCATAGTCGTGTATTGGGGCTGCGAGGCTGGCGCCTGCGAGACCGTTGTATACTGGGGCTGTGAGGCTGGTGCCTGTGAAGTCATTGTGTACTGAGGTTGCGACGGAGGAGCCTGTGGCCTAGTCGTATACTGAGCGGTTGGTGACGCGACATTGGGCACAGCTGTATACTGGGGCTGCGGCTGCGTAGGGTATACGGGCTGTGAGTTGTGTCGCACATGAGGCGGCTTGGAATCTGCTACTGGCTTCGCAGTGTAAGTGATGGTTGGTGGAGGATTCGCATACTGAAAAGAGCCGTCTCTCCCCGTCGCACTCGATGTCCTGCTGTGGCCAGAGGTTGGGGCGGCCGTATACGAGAAGTTGTTGGCGGTGGATGCATACTTGACATTGTTTGCATTGGCATATGTAATGTTGGCCGCTGGGGCAGCTGTAGTTGCAGGATGCGCGAATGAGGCGGCGTGGGGTGCATGGCCGGGGCGTTCGTGGGGAGGGAGGTCACTGTAGTTGCCCATAGTAATGGGCTCGCTGTGTGATCTGGTCGCCATGTCTCAGCTGAGTTGTCTTGCGCGAGGTTTGTTGGAGACATTCTCCAGAAGTCAGATGTCGCTATACTCACGTCGCATACTGCTGATCTGGCTGCCTGATCTCGTACTGCGGGGTCGAGGCTCCGTCAGCTGGCCCATATCGCTGAGGCTCTTGTGCATGGCTATGGCTGCGGCTGCGCGAATGGTCGCGTTCTCGACCGCGCCCCGGCGATTTGGAGCGCGAGCGCTTGGAGCCACTGTCGGGTCGTAGAGACATTGTGTTGTTTGCTTTTGTTCGCTTCGCTACCGATTGTGGCAAATTATCAATTCATATGTAAATGTGGTCGAGAGTTAGACGCTGGGTGTCATAGTAGGTTGCGCGTCAATGTCAAAAATGCGATGGCGGGAAGCTGCCATACTACTATCGTTGTGGCCCCCATTGAGTCTGGCGCTTGCATGGTCGATTTGGGGGCCAGGCTGAACTTCGGACACACTTCTTCCTGGGTACGGAGGCATAACAAAGGATCATCTGTAGCGTCGAGTATTGCACATCAACATGCTGCAACGTCAGATGTCTGGAGTTTGAGCGGGAGCTGTCAGATGCCATGTCTAGTCGCGGGGAAATGTTCGCCGAATCCAACAGCAGCCCGCCCTGCTTTCCTTACAGCGATTCCATCATGCGTCATAGCGTCGGTAGTAGTAAGGAAATTTTAAAGAAAATTGATAGCACCAAGACGACTTCTGTTGAACCGTTCCGACATGCGCCGAACCCAGCACAACTACGAGTGAAGACGTGGGTCTCAACTCACCGCTTCAGCTACTCATTTCGCCGTCACTCGGTGCAAGCTGGCGCACGTCCGCTACACCATTTCCATGGCCTAGTGATGGTTGGCTCTACCGATGCGCTAATTGGTGGTTTTCCAAGATAGTGGTGAAAGGGCCCTTCGGCGAAACGCCACGCTGACCATAGATTTGATCCTAGCTGTCGCTGACAGGCGGTCTACCAGCTCAGTTAAAGCTGAAGTGATATCGCTGCCAAACATGGCACCCCCTTCTACGCCCTATTACCACACACATCATGGCTACCGTTGCACCCCCGGAAAACTTCCAGCCCCAATCAGCCCTCGTTCAACTGCCGTCTGAAATAAAGCACATCATTTTCGGCCTTTGTCTCGTCAGCGATACTCCAATTTCCGACCCACAGATTGCTTGCTATAGCAAGGAACGGCAGAAAGAACCAGTCGACAATAGCCTCTCGAGGGTTTCTCTCCTTCAGACATGCCGCAGGATATATCATGAAATCGATCGTCGACCACTGTTCGCGCAAAACACCTTTCGTTTCTCAAGTCTCGATATCATGCAGACATTCCTTAAAGCACTGCCGGCTAGTTGTAGCAAGAGCATCCAAGATATCGAGATTGATTTGGGGAAATTAAATTCTGATCATCCCCATCTCACGCGTGAGTGGTTACAGTATCTAGCGTGGACTCAGGACGACCGCAAACCCTCCCTACGCATGGATACAGGTGGCTTAAAGTGTCTCCGACTTAACCTTGAGGCATGGCCTGTGATTCCAATGTACCGATGTGAGCTTTGGAACGTTCTTCGAAATATCCTGCGGGGGGTTGCGGATATTGAGAGAATCGTTGTCACCGGAACAAGCCGAGGTAAAACAATGGCTCAGAAGGCACCGTGGTCGCCAGTCCATTTTGTAGGCGGCGATAATGTAGGCTCAGATGATCTGATATCTCGAATGAGCAACTGCGTGGTGGCGAGACTCGGTGAACACAAAGTGATCACATGGTTGAGAAAGGACAACAAGCTTCAGTTGGAAGTCTCATCGATAGCCCCCGTATGCGAGAATACAGGTGCACGGCTGACTGGGCCCGACACTTGGCCACTCAACGGAGTCTGCACTGTTTCTACGTACAAGCAATACCGCCTTGATAGCAAGGGTCAAGAGCTCAATCCCAGTGTCGACGAATGATGGGTCTGGCAGGATCCCAAGGGCCATGAATCTCGTTCTTGTACTTTTGCAGACCTATCAACCACCAACTACAGACTCCCATGCTGAAGAATGTGAGAATTCCCCCTAGAATGGCGCCGGCTATGAATGTGGCGCGACCGTTCCCTGTCAGAGTAACGAAAAGACTGCCCCATGCGCATGTTATCAGGGTGATGGTTAGTGTGAGATGGCCCCATGGTGACCTAGCACGCAGTTGGCGACGGAATATTGGGAAGAGACCGAATACCTCAATGGAGAAAAGGGTCAACGAGAAGACATGAGTGGTAGATGGCAAACGCGAAGCAAGCACCGCCGATGCCATCATTGCTGAATTTGTGGATATTGAGGCTGGTAGTCTAGAAGCTGCAAATTAGCTGTTGAAATGGTGGATTGGTATGTTGTTCATACTGCGCATCTGTACCCGCGCTGTAATCAAAGAATGCAACGTTCATCATCAGCAGCCACGCGCTTATGGCCCATATTGAATCACTTGTTGTAGAGCGAGTGAGCGATTTGAGAATTGGACTGAGCCCAAGCAAAGCCGCATAGATGAGTATGGCGGATTTGGCAGTTGCCAGACGCTGCTTGGCCCTAGGCGAAAGGGTTTGCGAGACATGTGGCACGACCTCGCCTGTCTCCGACGTAGGCGTCAAAGGCACACTGGCGACTGTCTTGAACTCCTGGCCCATCCAGTGATCCCACAAGACCCAGGCCAGTACTGTGCACATACTGGCCCATCCAACCACGGCGACAGGCGACACTCTACCGTGAATGATGGCTACGAAGCAGCAGCAAAAGATGATGACCGACGCAAGATGCTGCACGATGACGGTTGCATCGGACATGAGCGACCAGAACTCATAGGGCTGAAACCTTGGATTTCGCTGCAAGTGGTCAAGGAACGTGGCCTCATCTGTGTAATTGTCGGGAACTGTGCATGTGAGAAGAGGTATACTGCTGCAGGCCGCCGCGACTCACAGGGTTGCTTGAACCACAGAAGCTTCTTGTAGTGGCCCTTTGGTTGGCGACTTGACATGCGCGACCCACCCTTCCTCTTCCTCGCAGGCCCTACAAATGACGTGCCTGTTGGGTCCAGCAGCCTGTTTGCACTCATGTCATGGAACGGGAACTTGATTAACACGAGCACGAGTGTGGTTGGGGAACCACTGGAAAGGATGAATTGTCATAACAGGCAATGACACAACGCTAGACCAAACGAGGCATGGCTATCTCCGAGGCTAACCACGCAAGCTGAGCGCACCTCACCAAACATATCATTTCCGATTAAGTGTCGTCCAAGCGACAATGATCCTCCTCAGCTTGGGCACAGTGGCACGCCCAGCCTTTACTTTATAATTTTCCTGGCCCAAAACCCTGCCGATTTCCATGTAACTCTCCACTGCGACCCGAATGGGGCCTCTAGCGTCAATTGGTAGACGTTCGATGGCGTCCTTGGTCGTCTCATAGAGCGAAAACGCATCCTTCAAAAGCCGCTTGCGAAGTGTCTCGACCTGCGCTTGATTTGGCCTTTTCAAGACATCCTCATAACTCAGTCCCACGTCGGAAAGCCATTTCAAAGGAAGGTATACACGGTCAATCTTAGCGTCTACTTCAATGTCTCGCGAGATGTTAACATATTGTAATGCAACACCCATGTTGTTGCCAGCAGCGATAATGGCACGCTGCTCCTCGGCGGATAGAGTGCTAGGATACCAGTAGAAGATGAGCTCAATACACATCTGTGCGACAGTGCCTGCGACTCGCTCCGCATACAATTGTAGGTCCTCGGTGGTTTCTATGAGCGGCGCTTTGTCGAAACCAAGGTCCATTTCAAATCCCCGGAGAAGATCCTCCAGTGGCTGGTGCGAGAGTTTAGATGTAGGGAGTTGAAGGAGCGCAGACTGGGTGTCAAGTGGGAAGTCAGCGCATATTTGGGCATGCACAGCAGTATGCGCAACTTTATCGCTGTACACATTGTTCAGGAACTTGCGTAGTTTCGCTATCCACATCTTGGCCTCCTCAGCGTCAGAAGCGTTGTCCACCAAATCATCAGCTACGCGGCAGAAGGAGTAGAGTAGGAGCAGATCCGCCCGCAAAGGTCCAGGAAACGTCGCGGATGCAAGATAGAAACTGCGACTCTTGCGCTTCAGACGGCGCACTGCCTCATCAAGACCCTGGAGCCGCTCAGCGTTGTACTTGGAACTGGGCGTAAGAAGGGCGCGCATCAAGAGAAGTGGCGACGGCAGCAGTGAGGTGCCCGTGAACAGCCCCGGGAAGGTGTACAACACGGCTAGAGCATTGTCAAACGCCAATTGACCACACACTATCAGCGCATTAGTGACAAAGAAGAATAGAGCCTCCTCTATTTCCAAGCCATCCCACAAGTGTGCTCCGTACTTTGTCCCCACGTTTATTACCCAGGTGCCTCTACGAAGTGCCAGCGTATCGACGATCCAGAGATAAAAGGTCGGGAGGAGGATTGGTAGCGCCGTGTTGGTCAATGGCAGCGCCAGAATGAACTGGTATGCAAGACTCCTGCTTGGGGTTAGTGTCAGATCAAGATCCCGCTAGGATCGGCGTACCATAGTAGCAGAAGAAAAGGACCAGCCCAAATCAAGATGAGACCAGTATATGTTCCTTCACCGCCGCTCCGAATGCACTGCCATCCCCATGCAATCATGCCCAGCAAAAACAATTGGCCGGTAAGCTTTGCAAAGCGCCATGGATTCCGGGATGCACCCGATTCGATGCGCAGATACACAGGCTGGAAAGTGGGTCTGCTGAGGAGCAGATAGAGCAATGAGGTGTTGTATGTCTGCACGATAAAGAAGAAGACCTCCTCGAGTGGAATATCATATAGTTTTGGACCGATGATGACATGGCCGGGGTAGCTCCATATGCCGGTGCGGATCAGGTACGAGTCCCATGGTATAGTCGAGGTGACAGCGACCTGAGCTGTCAGCACATTGGTGGTGGGGTGCGGCTGGGACAGCGATTGTACATACAAATATCAGATAAAAGACCTTGTACGAGTCGAGCTTGGTGAAGAAGGGGCGATAGAGCCAGGTGAGCAGCACGGCCGGAGGGATCGTGTACTTGAGATGACTAGCCGTGACAGTCAGCCATGTTGTTTGCATCTCGCAACCTGGGGGCGCGTCACATACACCAGCGCGTAGTCAAAGCCCATGATGAAACCGTGGAGCAGGAAGAGACGGCCAGCAAGAGGTACAGTTGGCGTCACTCGTGGACCCAATGCAAGGGAACAATCTAGGTGTAAGCCGCGGCGGACATGCGGCAGACACTGGATGTTGCAGAGGCTCCATAGCGCCAAATCGCGAATTCCATGCCGCCCCCAAAAGTCAACCGCCGGCAGTGCAGGAAGCACGGGGCCCAAAACGGGTTAGCCTTGCGTGCAAGCTTCAACATGACATCACCACCGGCCGCTCGCCATCTCTCCAACGGCACCGGTTTTCCCACCTGCCAACCCGCACATCCCGGCTCTGACAGGTACTTGCATCATGCCACCCACTCGCGCCCCTCACTCCACCCCGCTGCTTAGCCAGGGGTTGTTTCTGCTTCCGCGGCCTGCCATGGCCAGACATGTGAATGTCCACTCTGCTGTATACAAGGACCTTGACCAGCGACTCTGCTCTGCACAAACCCCACCACGCGGCCGCCCGATGCCGCCAAGATAGTCACCGTCGCTATGTCCAAGTCTGGACCGCCCAACAAGCCCGTCAAACGACACCCGTACGTAGGCCCCATGGCGCCAGGCCCCTACAGCTCTGTCTAACCTCGTGCCAGGTACCTGTCTGGCAACTTTGCGCCTGTCACCAAATCATGGCCACCCACGCCCGTCTCGTGGACGGGACGCGTTCCGGAAGAGCTGCTCGGGGGGATGTACGTCCGCAATGGCGGAAACCCTGTGACCGATGCCGAGCTGGGGCGTGAAGCGCATTGGTTCGACGGCGACGGTATGCTCTCGGGCGTCTGGTTCAGTCGTTCGCCAGCAGACCCGACCACGCCCATTGTCAACTTTGTCAACCAGTTTATCCTCACGGACGTCTACCTCACCGCCGTTCAGAATCCAGCACTACGTACACCCATACTGCCGAGCATTGCGACCCTGGTCAACCCCGCATCCAGCCTTTTATGGATTCTCTGGCGCATATTCCGCACTGTCCTCGTTGTATTATGGACCCATATCTCTGGGTCGGCCAGTGCCATCAAGCGAATCAGTGTTGCAAACACGAGCATACTGTACCATGACGGCCGTGCTCTGGCAACCTGCGAGAGTGGGCCACCAATGCGCATCACGTTGCCAGGTCTGGAGACTGTGGGCTGGTTCAATGGAAACACGGCCGAGGGCGAACCCGCCCTGGAAGATGACGGCGACCACCAAAATCGTAAAGAGAAGCATGAAGCGTTTGGCAGCACGGGCTTGCTCAGCTGGATGAGAGAATGGACGACTGGTCACCCAAAGGTGGACAAAGTGACAGACGAGCTGGTTCTCTTTCACTGCAACTTTGTGGCGCCCTACGTCCACTACTCGTTGCTTCCAGCAGAGGGCTCGTCTTCAAGCCAGACTGATTCCGAATCAAAAGCCATTGTCAATGCCCCAGTCCCCGGGTGCTCCGGTGGACGGCTCATGCATGACTTTGGGGTTGCGAGACATCACACTGTCATTCTCGATATGCCGCTCTCCCTAACTCCCCTCAATCTAGCAAAGAATAAGCCCGTGGTCGTGTATGAGCCCGAGAAGCCGGCTCGATTCGGCGTGTTTCCTCGTCGACACCCCGAGTTGGTTCGGTGGTTCGAAACAGAAGGCTGTTGTATTCTCCATACAGCCAATACCTGGGATGAGTACGACAGCAACAACGAGGTGGCAGCTGTCAACATGCTTGCTTGTCGCTTGACTTCAGCATCTTTGGTCTTCAGTGCCGGCAACATTGAACCACCGCCGCATCCAAAACACAAGGAGAAATCAAAAAGCAAGCCAATGTCTTTCTTTGCAAAGTACGACGATGATGAAAATGACGAAGACCCTGAAAAGTTTTTCGTCGAGGAATCGACTCCCTTACTAAGACCAGATGCATCAATGTTTGGCCCGGGTTCTTCATCAATGGCCTCCAACATACCAATTTCCCACGACGACGAAGAGCAGTGCCGCCTATACTATTACCGCTTTTCGCTGGAGTCTGGGTCCAAGAACACCATTACTCACCAGTTTGCACTATCAGCAATCCCGTTCGAGTTCCCTACAGTATCGCCAGCCACAGAGATGGTACGCGCACGCTACGTGTATGGATGTAGCACGTCGGACGAATCATTTGGTGCTGCTTTGGGCAAGGCTACGAAGATTGATGTGCTGGTGAGAATGGACGTCCAAGGCCTCCTCACACGTGCCCAGAAGAGCGCCCCGGAATCGATTACTGGATGTGTAGACAATCGATCAATGGACGAGATTCTTGCATCAGCCGATCCAAAGGACCCGATCAAGGCATTTCGACTGCCCCCGCAGCACTTTGGCCAAGAAGCCAAGTTTGTACCCCGCAAGGCATCGAAAAAGGCCGTTGCCGATGAGTCAGACTCGGATGAATTGGACGGGTGCCTCCTCTTCTATGTGTTTAATGAAGATCAGCTGGACGAAGAAGGCGAGTGCAGGCCAGATGCCATCAGCGAGCTATGGGTCTTGGATGCCAGGGATATGCAGACAGTTGTTTGCAAGGTCCGGCTTGGCACGAGGATACCGTATGGTCTGCACGGCAACTGGTTTACCGAAGAAGACATTGCAAAGCAGCGGCAAGTTGAAAAGCTCAGGTGCGAGACAGAAGTCGTTTGTGATACCCGATGGAGCCACCTGCAGAAGGCTCTTATTAGTTATCTTGGCTAGTCAGGTGAGGGATTGATTGGGTTTATGGCAGTGCTCAGGCATTCATGCTTACACATGTACATACATGCATACATGCATACATACATACATAGGTTAGGGAGATGTGCGCGACTAGCAGCATCAGCCTAGTAGTTGCGAGCGTCTCAAGCTAATGTCTAATTCCATCTTGGTCAACGTGTTGTTTGCTTGGAATGTGTATGGCTGCAGAGTGTGGTGTAGTAGAATGTACATGTACATGCACATGCACACGGCATTTCTGATCGATCGTGGGAAGACATGTGCAGGGCTGAGGTGGCACATGGCCAGTAACATCAGCCTTGCATAGCAGTTGTGTATGCATGTATATCTCTGACAGGACAGTTAAACCTGTCGATCTCCCGGCGGGAATAGCAGCCAGACCAATCTAGTCCCACTGGTTCAGCCCACGCTGGCCGTTGTGGTTTGAGATGGGCGAGATGGGCGGGAGGAATCGATGCATGTGACGTAAATCACCTCTCAAAGTGACTAAGGGATACCTACGTCTGGGCGACGTCGATGTCAAAGTAAGCTCGTGAGATCAGCACTATAAAGCTTAACATTGGGTGGCGTGACGGTGGAAAGTGGGGTTGGCGCGATGCGGAAGCGTCGGACGCTAGCAGTCATACCACGACGTTAATCGCCCTCAGTATGACCGAACATAACGCCGCTCTAGCCATTCAACCTGCCCCCCCCCCCGCGGGCCATCAAGACCATGGCTAACTCGTCGAAACACACTGGCCTCTCGCCCATCGTCCATGGCCCATGTCTTCCTTGTCCCTCGAGGTCACTGCGACGTTGATCTCTGCACCCAAGAACGGCACAATGGCCAGCGAACCACTCAAACCATCCACATCAAAGCGGGGGACGCTACAGCCAAGTCTCCACAGTAATTCCCGCAGTTGACGAGGTCACTCAGCGTCGCAGCTTTCTGCCGCTCGCCCTGCTGCCCTAGGCTCGCCCGTTAGTCAGCGCTGCGATTGGAGGAGCACTGACATGAAGGTGTGATGCGACCAGTTCTAGGTGCTGCAATGTCGTCATGGACAACGAAGAAAAAACGTCTGCGGATCGCAGCAATGACGGACTGACGGCATAACGGGATCATGGCATGGCGCACATAGGCGCACATGGCCAGGCAACAAGAGATATAGTTCGAGGGTTCGCGCCTGGGTAAACGGTTGCTTGATCATTCTCCAGAGTTCGATAAAGTCTCTTGGTATCAGAACCAAATACAAGCTAAAAAGGCGATTGCAAAAAGTTGGCTCTTGTGTTGCTTGCAATACACTATAACTTTTTCTCACAATGCAGCTTGAACGCAGAAACGATGTGTTCGAACACAATGGTATGTGGACATACCATTTCGCAACTCGCCGCCCCTTTTCATGACTTGCAGTAGTAGTACTGCGAGTAAAAAAAGAAGTAACGTCTTTGGCCTAACAATTCGTCTTAGGCAACACTGTCAACGGTCGCACTGCAGACATTGGTCTGACCACTCATGGCTCCAACTTCTACTTCTCCATCTGTGCCGTCATGACTGTGGCAGGCTTCGTCTTCGCAGCCATGTCGTACCGTATTGAGCGCCGCAACCGTATCTTCCACTACATCACCTGTGGTGTCGTCTTTGTTGCAGCCATTGCCTACTTCACCATGGGCGCCAACCTCGGCTTCACGCCTATCGAAGTCGAGTTCCGCCGCAGCGATCCAGTCGTTCGTGGTACCTACCGCGCCATCTACTATGCTCGTTACGTGGACTGGTTCATCACTACACCTCTGCTTCTCATGGACTTGCTGCTTACCGCCGGTATGCCATGGCCCACCATTCTCTGGGTCATCCTCGTCGACGAAATCATGATCGTGACTGGCTTGATTGGCGCTCTCATCCAGAGCATCTACAAGTGGCCATTCTTTGTCTTTGGTAAGAACTGTTCTCCCTTTCGATAACAAGTCATGTGATTTACTAACACAAAACCACAGGTTGTGTCGCCCTCTTCTACATCGTCTTCCAGCTCACCTGGGAAGCCCGCATCCACTCCAAGACCTTTGGCCGCGACGTCGAGCGCACCTTTTTGATGTGCGGCTCTCTCACCGCATTCCTCTGGATCCTGTACCCCATTGCCTGGGGTCTCAGCGAGGGCGGGTACGTTCCCTTATTCATCATCTCCTTCAAACCCACCCCTATATACTAACCCAATTCCACCAGCAACGTCATCGCCCCCGACAGCGAAGCCGTCTTCTATGGCGTCCTCGACTTCCTCGCCAAGCCCGTCTTCGGTGCCCTCCTCCTCTGGGGCCACCGCAACATCGACCCCGCTCGCCTCGGCCTCCAGATCCGCGACTACAACGACGACACTATGCTCCAGGAGAAGCGCGCCAAGGATGCTGCTGCTCACAATGGTCAGAACGTTGTTAACCCGCCTCATGATGGCCCGGCGCCCGCTACTACTACTGTTTAAGTAAGAGAAAGAGAGAGAGAGAGAGAGAATCTGCGCTTTGCGGTGGCGAAGATACCCCCTGTGTTGTGTGATTGGTGTTGTGCACAATAGCGTATACATGTTGTTTGTTCTTGTTTTTTTTTCGTTTGAGGATGAATGTTAGTAATGTGGTGGTGGGGGAAGGTAATGTTAATGTAACGGTGGGAAATGAGTATATGAATTTTTGGATTTTTTTACGATACCATTAAGAAGTTCTTAATTGAATCAGTCACTCGCTATATACATTTACTTGTCTATCCATTCGAATGGTTTGTGATTTGATGTCATGTGATTCATCTACTCGAAGAAAAAAAAACCTCCACCCCCCCATGCCGACATATAAACGTGCACTCATAGACATATACAAACATTATCTACTCGACGAAATCATAAATACACCCCCCCATCCCTCTCCTCTTACCAATCCCTCTTCAATCCCTCTCCCCCCTGATACCGCCACGATCCCATCCCACCCATCGCCACGACCGTCATAAAAACACTAATCAAAATCCAAACCAGCCAACTCAAATACGGCCCATGCTGCACTGTATCCAGGGGACTATTCGACGCCGCTCTTCGATCAATCTTCGCTTTGGCCCAGGGAATCCTATGTTCCTGGCCCAGCCCCGCGAGAATCTGTTCTGTTACGATTTTCGCACCAGCAAGCACAATGGGGACGCCTGTTCCGGGATGCGTGCTCGCACCCACAAAGTAGAGGTTGTTGATGCTTGAGTGTTTTGTTTTGGGGCGGAAACTCAGGACGTTGAAGAAGGAGTGGCTGAGGCCTAGGATGGCGCCGCGATCGAGGTTGAAGCGCGTCTTCCAGGTGGGAGGGGTGTTGATTACTTCGTCGACGATGTGGGGTGCGAGGTTGATTTTCAGGCGGGCTTCCATGGTGCGGAGGATGGTGTCGCGGGCGGATGCGACCATCGAGTCCCAGTCTTGTGTGAGACCCGCGGTATGCTTGGAGCCTTTGTGAGCGTTTGTGCTGGAGTCTTGGAGGTGGCCGACTGGCACAAGGACGACGATGGAGTCGCAACCTGGAGGTGCAGCGGAGGGGTCTACGCGCGAGGGCACGTTGACGTAGAAGCTGGGTTGATCGGGGATGAGGTGCTTTTTGAAGATGCTGTCGAAACTGTCGCGATATTCCTCGGCGAGGAAGATGTTGTGTGCGCTGAGTTCGGGGAATTGGCGGTCTAGTGCCCAGTAGAAGGATATGCTTGAGCAGGAGGCTTCGCGTTTGAGGAGAGAGCGCGACATGGAAGATGCGGGGAGGAGGTGGTTGTATGCGTAGGTTAGGTCGGCGTTGCAGACGACTATGTCTGCTGTTAGGGGTGCTTTGCTTTTGTCTTCGAATTCGATGCCTGTTGCGCGCTTTCCCTCTTCTGATAGTGTAATTTTGCTGATAGGACTGTCGAACATGTATTCGACGCCTAGACGTTGACCTACATCCACAAGTTTCTCAATCACCTGGAAAAGTCAGCATGTTGATATCTCGTCTGGTACAGTACCCGTACCTTGTGGAAACCACCAATTGGATACCAGATACCCTCCGCTAGCTCGGTATACTGCAACAAACTGTACGTCCCCGGCGCATCAAACGGACTCATACCCATGTACATACTCGCAAACGTGAATACTCTCCTCAGCCTCTCTGTCCAAAAGTACTTGCTCGCCCGGTACCAGATGCTCTCAAACGGATGCAGCTCAATCAGGTGCGCCAAAAAGTCCAACCGCGCCATACTCAGCAACGAGTAAAAGTTTCTCCTTAGGACATAAATGACTGAAACCTCATAGTGGCGATGGCTCTCCTGCAGAAAAGATAGATAGCGCTCAAACCCCGCCGTGCCCTCAAACCGCTCAATCTCTTCTTTCATGACGGAAATATCCGTCGACAGCGTAAACGCTGTATCATCATGAAAATGCACCTTGTAATTCGGATCGCATTTAACCAGCTTCACCCCTTCTCCCTCGAGCGAAGTCCCCAGATCCTCAAACGTCTCGTGGAAAAAGCGAGGTAGAAGCAGTAAGCTCGGGCCCTGGTCGAATCTCTGTTTTTTTGGGGTTATTACTTATCAGCTTTTTTTGTTCAATTCCGTTCAATTGAGTTCGTTCTCGCCCAATTGGTTATAATAATTGGAAAATGAGGAAAAACATACATATCCTCGACGGTGAATCAAACTGCAGCGTCCACCGGAAAACTCATTCTTCTCTACAACCGTAACTTTGCAGCCTGCAGCGGCCAGACGCGCGGCGAGGGCTACACCGCCAGCTCCCGCGCCGACGATAACAACGCTCGGGCCTGTCGCGTTCGCTGCCTTGTAGTCTCCCATCTCTTATTACTGTTTAATTCTTTTTCTTGTAGTTCAATGGGGGTATTTCCAGTGGATAGAGTATGTTCGTCTTGCAGACCGACAACGAATGAACTGGGATTTGCGAAGGGCGTTGGGTAAAAGAAAGAAATCGTTGCAGCGCGTGTATGTAGAGGAAGGAACGATAGTCGCGCCACAATCATTTGTTTCCCGCTCGGGTATTCCTGGATCGCTTCACCAAGTCATGACGTATACACAAAATCAATAACAACAGCTAGTCATGTATGCAGGCATTCGTTTCGGCATTGCGCTTTTGGCATGTGGAAATGCTTATTGTTGTTGGATTGAACGGAGGGGGCCGTGCCAAAGAAAGCGTGGTTGCGCTTGTTGGGTGAATGCCGGACGCATGCACATGGTTCAATTGGGTATGGAGCTGCAGTCTGGCTACACAAACCGTTATAGCTTGGTATATGTAGACTACAACCCTTGCGATAAGACTTTCCCAAAATAAACCTCCCAGCGCGACCACATCTTGAGTATCGCAGCAACCGTTATCAAAACAGCTTGCAATTGCAAAAGCCGTGGCGTGATTGACCTCGGCCACCACGGATGCCGGTGAGATGGCACCCCGCGCGTGGTCACAAGGTTTCGCAGCTAACTAACGACTTGATGAGACTTGGCAGCCAAGGAACATGGCGATTGCAAGAAACCACACGCGGTACACCGAGCTGTCAGATCTGGGCGGATATGTCGAGTCATGACCACATTACATTAGAATTACACAATATATACACAACTAATTGTCTCCACCGTAAATGCTAAGAACATCGGTCGAGTTCTTATACTCTGGCTCGCAGAATTCCGTGAAGCCACCAAAGCGTGTCTTCTTCTCTTGGATAAAGTCTTCAAACGCGGCCTTTGAGCAGCTCTCCCCTGGTCCATCCCCGCAAGCCAATTGCTGCGGATCCTTGTTCACGAGTACCCGGAAGTACTCGCCTGCATCGAAACCGTAGCTGTCACACGTCATCTTCTCGATGGCAAAGTTGGACAGGAAAGGCAGGATCCCTGAGGAGCGCCAGACTCGGCCCTGGTTCGGCCTGTCAAGAGGCATTGTGGCGCTCGGGTTGTTGACCCCGGTGTAAGCGCTGTTGTTGAACAAGCCCATTGCTACAGCGACCGTGGGAGGTAGCTCGCGGTGGGTGAAGGAGACGTAAAGATCTTGGTCGGCGTCGTCGGCGAGCAGCACGTTGGCAGAAGCGTTGAGCCAGGGGAATCCCAGAGTGCCAGCGAGCTGCTCGCTGGCATATCCGGTGTTGTAAAAGTACATGATGTCGTTCATGTACTCGAAAGAAAGCCATTCATCTTGAGAGAAGAGGTCCAGAGAGCAGAAAGGAGATGAGCCACGGATAACGGTTTCATAGCCGCACAGCTGCTGCATGCCGACAATGTCGCTAGCTGTGAAGTTAAAGTTGGGCGCATAATCATTCAGACGGCCGATGATGGGCTTGGTGTATTTCTTCTGGTATTCCTGGAAATGGAATTAGTCATGATCATATAGTTTGCGATGCTGTACATACCGACGACTGATCGCTACCATAAGAAGAGCTGTACTTTGGGCAGCCCTTGTAGGGAGTTAGAGAATCGGCACCACGGGCAGCATCCTCGCGCACAGGGACGAGCTTTGTGCCGTTACTATCAGCGACAAGGCCGTCGATAAAGGAAGAAGTGCTGAGCTCTGTCCTCTCTGCTGTCGACGTCCACACGCTCTTAGGGTCCTTGAAGGATGGGTATCGCAGCCGAACATCAACACCCAGCTTGTACGACTCAAGCCGGCCAATGGACGTCAGGTCCTCGAGCTCCTCGTCCGTAATAGGCGATTGCCATCTGGCGAGAAATTCCAGCGGGCCCGCGCTGCGCCAGTTGGCCGTCGTGTTCTTTAGCTTGTCGGTAAAAGGCTCAATGTACTCCTCGTAATCGAAGTCGTTTGCGTAAATGGCAGCATGGCGGATCAGGTATGACGCACGCGTAACATTGCATCCCTGGGGTGGTTTTGGGTCGCCCTGAGGATCCTCAAAGTAGGGTGCAATGCCAGCCAGATGGCGCAAAGGATCAAAGGAGGATGAGGACGAGGAGCCTGCGGATACGGCTAGCGCGTTGGCAGCGACGAGGAGGGACACAAGAGCCGACTGCATGGTGAAAGTGTGGCTGCGGTGCGAGCCGTACCTGGGCAAACAGGTGAGGCTGGTGCCCTTTTAATACTACGCGAAACCGCGTAACATGTCATTGCGATGTTGATCGCGTTCAAAACTTGGCAGTGAAATTTGTTGTACTAATTGCCTGACTTGCATACAATGACGATGTTTCCCAGGCACGGTCCGCGAGAGTGGGGATGAGCTGGGGCCCACAAGATCAGCTATGAAGTCACTGTTGGACAGGGCTCTCGGGTAAGTTGTGTGTCGGGTAGAATCACGTACAGCCATGGCCTGATTGGTGTCAAACGCGTCCAATGTTTATTTAGAGAAACAGTCGGTAATGCCACATGTAACATTTTTGATGGTTGGTGGACGTGGTACCTTTTATCACGTGCAAGCCTCCAACACAGCACCACTTCATTGACCTCCGTCGTGACTCCACATTTTGGATCTCATCCTAATATCACCTCAAACCAAGTCTTGCACTTGTTCAAAAAACAAAAACAAACAAACAATAACAACATGTACGCTGACAAAGTTAGTACGTGGCTAGCACCCTGCTGCTCAAGCCCCAACCCCACAACTACGTCAGCCACGTCTCGACCGCCCCACGCACTGCCACTCTCCTGTTTCTTCACGCATGCAAGATCGATCTTGAAGTAGAAAGACAACGATATTGATATTCGCCTCTACCAGCACAAAGCTAGGAGCACCAAAAAGCACCACAACCTCAAGAAGAAAACTCTCTCTCTCCCTCCCTCATACTATGTAAAAAACACACACACTACTCACACAACCCTTCCACTCACCAACCTATTTACATTCCACCCGACCTCCGCTGGAGCGACCGCACCTTCTGCTCAAGAACATGACAATCATTCTCCTTGCGATGCAAATCCCTCATGAGCGCCTCCTTCTCACTCCTTAACGCTTGCATCTTCCCCCCCACATTCTCCCGATAATTAGCATGTTCCTCCATCAGATTCTCCAGCCTCTGAAAATCCCATGAAGTCGGGGCTGCACCCGCACCTGCACCCGCACCTCCTCGTAACCGCTGAAGCTCGGCTTCCTGAGAGCGAATCTTGGCCTCGAGATCCGTCACGGTGCCCTTCCAGGCCTGATGCGCCGTCGTGCGGTTGAGATGGTCGATGCCGCCGTTCTGCGAGGCGCCGAGTTGCTCGACGAGATCCGAGTTGCGCTTTTCGAGCTCGAGCGCGCGCTGCTCGAGCGCGGCGATCTTGGCTGCAGTAAAAAGGTCTGTAGTGTCGCGCCTCTCGAGAAAGCTGGACATGCGAGGGCGGTTGGGGCTGATGCGGCCGGCGGGTGATTGTGCTTGGAGACGTTCTAGCTCTCGTGTCTTTTCGGCGAGCTTGCTGCGCACGATTTGAACGTTGAGAAGGTCTTCGTCGCGGAGTTTTTGCGTGGCTTCCAATTCGCGGCGGGCTTTGGCGAGCATGCCCTATGGTTTTGTTAGCAAGTAGGTAAGGATAGGGTTTCAGATGATGAACTTACTCGGATCTTGATGTTGTTCTCGACGTCTTCGTCTCGGAGGCTCCAGATGGCTTCGTGGCGCTTCCACCAGACCTTCTTCTCTTCTTCAAGCGCTTTCAGACGGTTCTTCATCTCCAGGAACTCCTCGGGGGTGACTGATGCAACAGGGTTGGCTTGTTCAATGTGAATGAGCTTGGACATGAGGGCCGCGAGCTGCGACTCGAGAGGACCAGGAACGTGTGGGACTGGGGGAGGGGGCGCAGGCTTCTCATTCTCGATGCTCATCTTGCTCATCTTAAGCACAGGAGGTGCTACTGGCTTCTTCAAAGAGTAGGTGTCGTCTTCCTCGCCGTCCAGCGTTGAGGATCTCGATGTGGCATCGTCGTCTACAGGTCGCTGCTGTAGCCTAGGCTGGTTGTGGAACTGCAGAGTTGTCGTTTGAGGAGGGGGAGGCACAACATGGGCCTGGACCTGGACTTGAGCCTGGGCCTGCATCTTCTGTGCCATGAGGTTGGCGGGAGATCCAGCTTGAGGCCTGTTCCACGCAAGCGGTGCTGGATTGTTCAACCTGGAAGGATAGTCTTGCTCATCATCGGAACCTAAGTCGGAGTAGGTGTCCGAATCGTAGTTCGGGGGTTCAGCCTGCAACTGAGGCATTTGTGGCATTTGCTGCTGCTGGGGCATCTGGGGCATCGAGTTCATTTTGGGCGAGTGTACTGACAACGGCCGGGTTGCAGATTGTACAGAGGCGATGGAAACAATGGAAGGTGTACGGTGAGGTGATGGCTTAGTGCGGTTTGGTGCCCACATATCGTGTCGGTATGAAAAAAAAAGGTAATAAAATATATATCGTCGAAAAGGGTTGTTTTTTTGGTCGAACGGTTGTGCAGTGGCCTCCCAGAAGCTGACTGCTATTTACAACGCGAGCAAAAAAAATAATAGAATCGAATTAACCAACGAAAAACAAAATACACACAAAAGACGAACCAGCGGAAAGCCGTTGAAAGAGCGGTTTGAACCTTTCAAAAATGTTCGTTGCCTTGCCCGTGGGTTTGAATATAATATGTAGTCTGGTTTGTTGCGCGCCGTGTTGTGAAACCAGGCTGAGACGTAGGGCACCCGTGCAGCCGGATATCTGTGACGGGGAACGGGGTGGAAACTACAAGATAGCCGCTAACATGGCAAGCCTGACATTAAATTTCCCAGATTGATCACCACGCCGAATGCGTATGCGCAAGCCTCAACCTTGGCCCTTTCCCATTGACTAGAGCGCGAACGGAAACAGAGAATTATAGTCGAGGGGGGGGGTGCGCGTTTGGTTCATAGGTGGCATAGTTGAGCTCCTTAAGCATCTAAACGCGTATGATTGCGCCTGCAACATTTATACACGCAGAATTCGCACGGAAAACAGGTTTGCATACCTACAATTGAATTGTTGATCCCCGTTGGAGATACCATACCGGCCAAAAGAAAGTCGCGCCGCTGTCAAAAGCAAAGTCAAGATCTGTACACCTATTGACGTTATCCCAAGGCGCAAGAAAAGGTGGCTAGTGCAACCTCAACCCTTCTTCCCCTCATGAGGCTGAAACCCCTCAAGCGTCACGCCCGTATCAACGCTCCTTTGCCGGCCCCCGCCCCAAAAAACGTGGAGTCCACCCTCATGCACCTGCTGCCTCAGCCAAGCATGCCAGGCACGACAAAAGAGATTGGGGATCAGCGCCGGGAGGCTTGGGTATAGCACTGCAAACTACATCTGTGTTTCTTTTTTACCTTTTCCTCGTCCTTTGCGATGCCGGGCGATGCGGAGATGCGGACGTATCGAGTAATAAGATCCTTGTTATGCGGTGTTGAGTCGGGGAAAAAGGAGAAGGGGAGGGTGTTGTGGGAAATGTGTTTGGTAGACAGCGTATGTAGACGGAAAAGCGGCATGTGTGGTTATCAGACAAGGGGGATTTCAAGGATGCGACTCGATGGAAGGATTTCTTTTGATCTTTTCAGATATCTCAAGGGTGTGAAGCGTCGATCGAAAAAAAGGAGATTCCTTCCATATGGATCTATGGGACAACTCAAACATCGTACCGGTCCGAACTGTCGTGGACGGGTGTATAGGTGAAGTAATCAAACTGCGCTACCTTCTCTGTGCCATTCATGTCCGATGCTGCGACGCCGACAAATGCGCCTGTAAAACTGCCATGTCTGTCAGAGGTTAGTCAATCTGTCTTTCATGTCTCTAGACTGAGTAAGGTAGATGAAAACTCACGCTTGATGACCACCACACTCGTCACTCAAAATCGACGCATCATACACCGGCCCAATATTCTTCAACTCTTTCTCGCCATCAAGTGCGTACTTGAACTGCAATCGCGGGCCTCTGATACTAAGTGCTAACCTGACTTTGCCCTCCTGCGGAATCGAAACAGGCTCGGGAAACGGCATCTTGAGATTTCCATCAGGCCACGAAGCTTCGGAGCTCATGAGTAGCAACTCGCGCTTGCCATCGGAATGCGCAGTAACGGTCAAGTAGAAGAAGTTGAAGCGGCAGTAGTACGCCGTTAGACCTGCAAACGTGCGCTCGTCGTCTGGCGCAAAGTCCACCACGGTCTCGGCATCGTAGGAGAAGTGCGTCTGACGGCGGGCGACAAGTGCTTGTTCGAACCAGGAGCCGATAGACTCTCGGCCCGTGAGCTGTAGCCCCGTTTTTGACAGGTGGAAGATGCGCTCGGGCTCGGGGGTGCGGAGCCATTGGAAATCCTTGTGGAGCGTGTCGGTACTGGTGAAGTCGTAATGTTGCGGGGACCAGTATGCAGTATCGTCGCGCTCTGCTGGTAGGTCCACGTAGAGAGATGGAACTGGTCCGTTCTTCACGTACAGCCAGTCGTCCTTGTCCCAGTAGGCTTCTTGGATCGCCGTCTCGCGTCCGAGCACACAGCGACGCGCTTGCGTAGTTGGGCGTCCTGTCAGATGTACAATGTACGTCCTGCCGTCTGGCGTGTCGACGATATCTCCGTGACCTGCTCGTTGCAGAGCAGCCAGCGGCGCATCTTTGGAGGTGATTATATGCTTTTGTGGATGCAGCTCATACGGACCCCATATATCACGCGATCGAGCAAGAGTGCAAGCATGGGTGTATGCGGTGCCTCCTTCTGCAGTCAAAAGGTAGTACCAGCCGTTTCTCTTGTATAGATGTGGTCCTTCTGGAAGACCTAGATCTGAACCAGGGAAGATTGTCTTCCGCGGCCCAACAAGTTTTTCGGTTTTCTCATCCCATTGTTGCATTCTGATGCCCTTGAATGCGGAACATGTAGCGTTAGCATTGTTTTCAGCGAGGACTTGTAAGTTTGGGCGAAAAACTGACAGAAAAGAATTGTGGACGCCTCCGATGGTCCTGGAGCATATTGATAAACCACTTCTTTCCATCGTCATCGTGGAACAGTGAGGGGTCAAATCCAGAAGAGTTGACATAGATGGGATCGGACCATGGGCCTTCGATCTTTTCGGCATGAACAATGTAGTTGGGATTGTCTTTGAATGAGCCATCCTTGCGCTTGACATCCGTGTATACAAGCCAGAATTTCTTGCCGTCATGGGTTAGGCAGGGGGCCCATACACCTTTTTAGATGTGTTACTCCAGACTCAATTAGGGGAGGAGTGAGAGGTTGAGTGGAAAGACGTACCACAGCTATCAGGGTCACCACGCATATCCAGCTGACTCTTTCTGGTCAACAGACGAGTAACGAGGTCCCAGTTGGCAAGGTCCTTGGAGTGGTGGATCTGTACGCCGGGAAACCATTCGAACGTCGAGGTAGCGATGTAGTACTAATACGACCAATTCGTTTAGTGCATGTCCTGGTATAATCCTGGAATGTATGTAGTCTTTGAACTGGATATCGCACTTACTGCACTATCTCGTTAGTTCATTGTGCTTCCCAAAGACTCAAATAAGAGATTAACATACCATCATCTCCAACCCTCAGTACCGACGGATCCGCATTGAACCCCGGCAGAATCGGATTCCTTACTAATGGCATCTTTGCTGGTATGCGAAAACGCTATATCTCGCTTTCTTTTTTCTTGAATGCAAAAGAGGACACCAGCTCTATTATCTATAGGTGAAACTAAGAAACAAATTAGCCGGGCCGGAATGGGGGCACGCGGTGCTGCTCTTTTGCCGGCGCCTGTTTTGTTAGCACGTTATCGACGGTTTGGGCGGCTGACCCCGCATACGTACGGGACACAGACGGGGCAACGTAAACACAGATCTCAAAAGGTTCTTGGCAATACAACATTCTTCATCTTCATTCGAAGACTCCCATGATACAGAGTGGATCTGGTAGTTGTCCTTCGGAATACCGCATAGAGGAGTCCGTATTTGGTAACCGTGGTGGGGTAAGGTGAAGGTGGGGCAAAAGCTCAAGGCGTACATATGTAACAAGTGTACTGTCTGAACAGCAAAGCCATGTGCCAATCGAAACATCTCATGAACCGTACGATGATGACGTGCACTTCAAAAGACTGGTTTACCGCATCTGCATTACATTATCAACATCGTAGCACCCACCAACCAAGGAAACCATTTGCGAAGACAGACTGGGTATCTTTGAAGGAATTGGTAAACCTGCAGCATGCGACTCGGGGGCCATTCCAACCATTTAACAGCTCAAAAGTCTACTTTGTATTTTGCTTGCCGAAAGTATGGCAGATTGACCACTTCAGTTGTAGCATATTGACGACAAGATGTGCTTAAACATCTACTTAAGCCTGGGCACTCGAGACACCTTGATTATTTTCTTCGGCTTCCTCCGAATCTTGCTGAGTGGGTGCGTGGTTTGACGTCTGGTCGGTAGTGGATGAAGCAACGACACCAGCAGGCAGAGAGAATCCCTCTCCTTCATCTGTGTCCAACTGCATCAGGAAAGTTTCCCAAATCTCGATGAGCTAGTGTAGTAATTAGCAGGGTCCAGTATTGACACAAAAGCCGAACATACCTCCTTTTGCGCTTCTACCGCACTTTCCAAGAATGTCTCCACTCCTGATTTGAAGTCTTCCACCTTTTCTCTCTCAAAGCGCTCTAGTTCACTGCGCATGAGTCGTCCCATGTCATCGAAGAGCAGTCTCGCTTGATGCACCTTGCGCTCGGCATCGGCAACGTCTGCGCTAAGTTGGTTCAAACGGTCTTGCTGTGATCTACCCTGTCTCAGAAGCTTATCCTGAGTTGCCTTTCGCTTCTGCAGCTCTTGCTCGGCAGAATGCCATGAATGGTAGGCTTTTTGTCGCTGCTGAAACGCAGTTTTCACCGAGCCAATCAAGCGAATATACTCGTCTATGACAATGCCCATAGTGAGAACATCCTGTTGGGCTTGACGTTCGTACAATTCACGGATACGGATCTGGATGTCGGATAGGCTGTCGAGGGGTCCAGACAGGGCAGGCGACAACTCGACAGCAGACAAGGAATGAAGGGAAGCCGAAAAATCACCACACGCTTCAGCTAGACCTTTTCGTTGGGAAACAACGGTGTCGGTTGCCTTAAGCAGAGCCTTGAGTTGAGCTTCGAGCGCATCGAGGTAGACTCTCCGGTCATGGAACCACTAGAACATCATCAGTACTGAATGAGTGCAGAAGGCTGGGCAAACGTACATCGTCATGTTCAATAAACTTGCCAGAGCTACTGCCAAGCATGGAGCCGAACATGCCCTTATTCTCTCCCAAACCGGGGTCCTTGCGTTCCTTGTTTTTGATGTCCATGTTGAAGGCCTCGCTCTCGAGGAACAGCTTCAGATCGCTATCATGTTGCAGCACAGGATGGGCAGCCGACTTGTTGAGCATGCGCTCCAGAGCAGCACGACGAGACTCGACAAAATCGGCGTCGAAGCGACCGACAGCTTGTTTTTCTGGGGGTGGAGGGATGATGACACCGGGGTTGTTGTTGTGCAGTTGGTTGTAGAGCCAGAGGAAGTCGCGGTAGCGGCGAGAGACGGTGAATTCAGGGTTACGGTAGCCTTTGGAGGTTGTCTTGGTCGTGACGGAGTACTCGGTGTGGGAGCTGGTGAGGTCGCCAACCTTATGCGGGTCGCCCACAGAGATTGAAAATGAGGGCTTCGCCGCCTGTTCGACGCTGACGCTGGGCTGTGTCTGGCGCTGGGGCGCGGGGTTGGATGGAGCCTGGACGGGTGGAGGCAGCCGTGCCCCTTGTGAGGCGCGCAGCTGGTCCTGGTCGTTGTCATCAAGGTCGACCGAGTCCATCATGCCGCGCAATGAAGAAGAAGCTGATGCTGCCCCTGTTGGTCGGCTACCGCGAGCAGCAGCCTCTTTCTGGGGCGGCGCTGGGGGAGCAACGGGCTCGAGGCCAGGCGACGGTGTTGGTGCTCCCAGAGGGCCCAGCGGATCTTCGACGGCCTCCAGCTTGGTCGACTGCACGCCATGGGGCCGCCGCCGGGGGCCACGGCCTGCAGGAGAGCGCGGTGCAGAGGCGGCTGAAGGGGCGGCATCGACGGTGAGAGTAGTTGTGGTTGTAGACGAGGCGTCTGGGGGGGCATCGTCGCTACCCAGCTGCTTGGAGGCACCGGGCGCAGGGCTGGATTGCGAGGGCACATCTAGAAAGCGTGTCAGTAAGATGCCACGGTTATGGGCAGGCGAAGGGGTATGTACCGCCCCAGGGAGAGTTTTCTGCGTCGCCCAGATCCATTGGCGCGGTGAGGAGATGTATGGGACGAGGGGCGGCGGTGGTGCGAGTTTGTGGTCGTATGGATGTAGTTGGATGGTGTCGCATCCGGCTATGACATATGTACAAGGCTCCACTAAGCACCAAATGGCCCGGCCCTCCCCTGCCTGTACTCTACCAACGTACATAAGTTCTCTACACCCGCGTTTGACACTAAAATTGTAATTGACCGAGATTCTATGTACTACTAGTACACCCAGAAATCCTGTTGCATCCCAGCTCTAATCATCCCAAATACCTGTTCCATCCCCTCACATATTGGATCCGCCCAGAGTCGCTTTCCCATGCTCGCAAGTATAGCAGACCTTTCCATCTTTCGAACCCAGCTTCATCGTCCCCATGGTCAGACCCATGCGCTTGCCCAGATGCACAACCCAGCTTTCCACAAAGACGGTTGAACCTACCGGCGCCGGCCTTACGTACGTGCAGTTGACTTTGGGTGTCAGTTAGCAAGATTCTGAGGAGGACTTGAAAAACAGAACGTGGTGCCAGAGCATTTCAGCTCCCATACACAATACAGCACTTACTGCCCGAATGTTAGCAAGAGTCGTCATCCGTTTGGCATTCAACAACCTACCGATTTCGTGAAACATTACCACCGTCCCAGAACCCTTCGCGCGCACACGGCAAAATAGTCAACGACGTCGCGATGTCAAAGACCAATGCTACCGCGCCTCCATGAAGATTGCCTCCGATGTTGCAAAGTTCCTCTGGCACCACGAAGCTGAAGACTGTGCGAGCATCATGCGGATTCTCACTAGACGGCGTATACGTGACTGATTCCAGCTTGAGTATCTTGGCTATAATGGCATCATGGCCCTATATCACCGCCCTGTTAGAGCCCCAGCTTAGGATTTTGGACAAGAGATAAACATACATTGTATTCAAAGCCATTAATCACGTCAAACTAGCGTTTCGCAACGGCCATGTCAGCAAGACATGGTATAGGCAGATAGAGACGGACAAACCCATTGCTTGACCTTGTCAGTAGGCGAATCAGAAAAGTCCCCCCCAAACCTGGGACCTTTCTTTTTTTCCGAATCACTCATGTTGTAAAGGAAAGGCTCTTGTGGAATATACGGGAAGGGAATTTGAGACGCCCCTAAAGAGGCGACCGGGGGTAGACATACATATGATACAGATAGACGGACCTCGGTATCTGTGAAATACGACGCTAAACCACTTTAGGCGTCAACATCAGAAATTCTGTGGAATAGTTTACGACTCGATTTGTCGTCTCCAATTCAGCGCATTAAGTCCACCTGCTCGCCGTCACAAATCAATACAGTCATGGATCCCTCCATAATCTTCCGCCAGCTCCTCCGCATGCCCGCCGCTCACCGCAATGCCCTCCTACAACCCACCCGCCCACATATGCGCGCATTCGCAGCCTACACACAACCCCTCCCCCAACCCCGCTACCTATCCGTTCCGCGCATCGTTCAGCCCAGTTTCTGGGCTTCGTTAACTCCAAAGCCATTCAAAACACGCTCTGAGACACCCCGCTCCAAAGAATGGAATCCCGCCACACCCTACATTATTCTCGGCCTCCTCGTCGGCAGCCAAGCCATCCAAATCTTATGGCTGAAACAAGAACGTAACCACGACTTGCGCAGGGCAGAAGCCAAGATAGGGATCTTGCGTGAGGTCATTGAGAGGGTACAGAGGGGCGAGAAGGTGGATGTTGAGGGGGCTTTGGGGACGAGTAATGCAGTGGAGGAGCGGGAGTGGAAACAGGGTGAGTTTTTCTCCTCATATTTTTGTCGATGTGGTATGGAAGACTGACGTATAGAATAGTCTTGAAAGACATACAAGATGAGGAGGCGCTATTTCAGAGCAAGAAGAAGAGAAGGGCCATGAGGGAGGCAGCGCTACAGGAAGAGGCTGCAGAGAAGAAGACGGGTCAAGAAAGTACAAAGAGTCAGGATGCCGCGAAGATGCAAGTGGAAAGTGTGGGTGGAGTTAAGTTCTACTGAAAAAAAGTGATATGGTACTCATCTGGTGAAAGAAAGAAGAAGAGGAAGAAAAGACATGATCGCATGGGGTATCTCGAAGAATGAAATCCCCAAAGGCTTCGGAACCAGCCGCCAGCCAGAGATGTGAAAACCCCCGAAGTGAAAACCGAAAGAGAAGAAGAAAGAAAAGCAAGAAAGAGCATCTCAGCAGCACCCTGATCACTCAGCATCCCCATATCCCTCATATCCCTCAAGATCCTCCTGCTCCTCCGACTCCTCAGGCTCCTGTTCTTCCTGCTCCTCCTGCTCTTCAGACACATCGGGAACCTTGACACCCATCTTCTTCAAAACCTTGAGCTTCAACCCCCTCTTCCTATTCCCTGCATTGTTGGATTTCTTGGTAGCAGCCCTTGCCGTTGGGTTATCGCACAGCAGCCTCAGCGTGATACCACCTCTCAAGGCATCATCTACGACGGCCTTTTGCTGCTGCAGCGCCGTGCAAATGCAAGCGAGTCTCCTCTCCAGACACCTCTCGCCCAGATCAATAAGCTTGCCCCGCTTGGCTTCCTTGTGGTAGAGAAGCAGCCTGTTCCATCCAACCTCGTGCACACCGATGGCGCGGTCAAAGATGTGGTGTGCCGTGGCTTCGAGGTCCTTGGTGTCATAGGCTAGTTCTTCCTTGATGCGGCGGCGGTGGCACGACTGCTTGCTGTCGTCTATGTTGGAGATGTCGATGATGGATTCGTAGATGCGGCGGACCCAGTAATTACCTGGAGATGTACAAGTTAGACTTCCACACGAAGAGGAAGGGGGGGTTCAGGGTGAAGAGTCGACTTACGTCCGAATTCCTTTACCCGCAAGAGATCTGGTGCTTGATCCTTGATCATTCCGCGTGATTGCGTGCGCCAGGCCTTTGCTTCTGCCCCTGTGGCGAAATGGTTGCTAAACGCGGGATATATCGGTCTGGGTCCGTTTGGATTAGGGGGGACAATGCTGTCGTTGATGAGTGGGACGTAGTTTTGTGCCGTCAACGGTACGTTGTTGGCGTTGTTCGGAATGGGTGCGGGTACAGGAGGCGCAGTGGTGCCGGTGGAGGTGTTGGTTGCAACGACAGGTAGAGGTACCATAGGAGCAGTGGCAGCAGGAAGAGCGGGGGGAGCCGTAGCAGTAGGAAGTAAATGAGCGGACGCAGGAACTTGAGCCGATGCTGCACTTCGCCTTGATGCGGAAGTTCGCCTTGATGTAGGAGCGGATGTTGAAGTTCTACTTCGCCTTAATGCAGGAACAGATGCCGATGCTGGGCTTCGCCTTCGTGCCGAAGCAGATGTCGATGCTGCCTTTCGCCTTGGTGCGGGAACGGATGCTGGAGCTGGAATCGCAGGGGCAGTTCCAGCCCGCTGGAAACCATGACTTTTCATCAACTGTTGATAAAGCGCATCCATATCTTGTTGCCCGAGGTTGCCTGCATGAGACGATGGGTTTCCTGGCACGACAGGGTTGACTGGACCGGCTTCCTCGACATGGACATAGTCGAATTCATTGCTTCCATCGCTGCGGGGAGTCGCCTGCGAAGCGTGATCGCTGTCCGAGAAAGTGTATGGAACTGCCTGCGTGCCATGTCCGTTCACATGCGCACTCTGGCCAAAGTTGGTTCGTGTTTGGGCCGAGACCTGGTTGCCGTTGTTCCGGACGAAGAAGTAGTCGTTTGGCTGTGCCGAAATGTCGTTCTGAGCAAAGACGAAGTCGTTTGCGTTTGGTGAGACCTCGTTCTTGACTTGATTGCCAGCGGCATAGTTCTGTAACATTGTCGGAACCTCGTTCATGATGTTCTGGCCAACACCAAAGTTCTGAAGTCCTGCCGAGAACTCATTCTGGCCGTTCTGGACAAAGCCATAGGTGCCAGGCGTTGTCGAGGATCCGTTGTAGGCGTTCTGTCCACTGCCATAGAGGTTGGTCATGACACCACTGACATTCGACTGCAACCCCTCAACCGACTGAAGCGATGCTGCGACATCCAAGTTGTTTGCAGCCGACAGAAACCCGTTGTTCCGGAAGTCGAATCCCTCTCCGCCGAGAAAGTTGAAGGGTCCACTCAAGGTAGCGTCGAGACCGTTGGAGTTGAAGTTCATACCAAGCCCTACAACTCCTGTTCCATTATCATACGGAGCTGGTACGGAATTGGTAAAGTAGTCGGAGCCATTGAATAGGTCACTAGGACCCATATCCAGGGGTGCTGCATTATCTGGCTGCGACCATGTACCAGAAGCCTGCGGTGCATGCGTGACCGGAGCAGGAGTGTGAGCATGAACAGTAGAAGCGGGGATAGGAGCAGAAGTAGAAATAGTAGGAGCAGAACCAGGAGCAGGCGTAGTAGGAACCTCGACCACCTCTTGAAGCTCATCCCGCACTGGCTGAAGCAAGCTCTCCAGCGGGTCCGCAGGAAAATTCAAGAAGGCGCTGTAATCCGTATCATCCAGCAGTTGCTGCTTCTCCTCTGGCAAGATGAAAGACTCGGGATTCGCCTGCGACACCCCTACAGCCTGTTGCGGCTCACCAGGAGCAGCACTGGCACGACGTGACGCCATTCCTCCTCTTTCCACTTCTATACTCAAGTATAAAGAAGCAAAGTAGCGTGGAGGGGGGTGGGGGGATATACCAGATCCCTCCTTCACAAAGAAACGTAGAAAACGACGGTACCAGCCCGTACAAAAGCTTACGGCTGAAAACTGAAAAGAAGAAGAAGAAGAAGAAGAAGAAAAAGAGAAGAGTCGACGACCCAGCCGTCACCAAACAAGAGAGAAGAAGAACTGCAAACTCAGCAAAGTAGAGTACAGAAGAGGAAGAAGAAAGAAAAGACCCAGAGTGAGAAGGTAGAGAAAAAAAGAAGTAGAAAAGCAGACCGGAGAGGGCAAGCAAGCAAATATAAAAGCAGTCCACAAACCCCCNCCCCCCCCCCATTCCCTTCAACTTCACCAACTGACCCTCCTCCTCCTCCTCACATACCTCACCGACAATAATCACCATTGTCAAGCATCACCGACGTCGTATTGTCTCAACAAGAACAAACAATGATACCCCACTTTTTCCCCCCGGATCTTCTATTCTTGCTGCATAGAGCTATTGTACCTTGGTAGCGACCGATGTAATCGATTGCGTTTGGGGTTATTATGCGGGGAGGTTGGGGTGGGGTGGGGGGGCGAGTAAGTGAGTGAGTGAGTGAGGGGAGGGGGGCCAAGAGGGCACGGTCGGGGAGAGGTAGGGGGAGGTGAGTCTGCATACGACTGAATAGGATTGTTGGTGGAATGGGGTGGTCTGGGTAGAGGGTGAGTGTTTACAATTGAGTAAGTCCGTATTGTTGTTCGTGAGGTTGTGCTGGGGGGGGAGGGCACGGAGCCAGGTATATAGCAGTGGGTTGCAGTGAGAAGATGGTCACGGATGTGTGGATGCAAACGCTTCACACGCATACACACACACACATCTGTGCTGAATACCTTTGTGTATAGAACGGGTCATATGTAGAATAGAAGCAATAGCACGAGCATATATGTATTCAAGTGGCTTTGAAAAGGACAGCCTGATATCTACACATAGACATTCCCTACATCGAATCAAAATAGAACCACAAGTCACAATGGCGCAAGCATCCACACATCCAAACTCATCAACGATCCAAAAAAAAAAAGAAAAAACAAACTTGCAATATTACGCCAATAAGGCTCAGCCTACATACATCATGGGCACTTTACCACCCTACACCCAAAAATAAACCAAAGAACGACAGACCAAAAGACTACAAAGGGCTCGTAATACACATTAGGGGTCTCTCTCTTTTTCCCACCACAGACGACAACGGACGAACTCGAGTCTACACCACCGGACACCAAAAAACAACAACAGAGAGTTCATATGCGGCATTGACGGAAAATAACAGAGTTGCGCGCAATGTAAACAGGAGATGGACAGTCGGGTACATGACGAACATGTTTACTAACCGAAAGATTTTCCAAAAAAAAAATCCAAATAGTCAAGCTGGCCCTCCTTGATTTCTCCTCCGTCAACAAGCCCCAGCAGCGTACAACTACTCAAACCAAAAAAAAAAAGATTTGCGCAATCATCACATGATCAAACAGACATGAAGAGTTTCCGCAAAGTTGGAGAAGAAAGCAAAATGGTATAGAACAAGGGGGGGAAAGGCCCTTCTCCTTTAGCCCTTAAATTCCAGGGGGAGAAAGAAGGGCTATACTACAGCCCAGTTTGACGCCAGACGGGATGTCCAGGAGCATGTCCAAACCCGCAAGTAGATGGTATAGAAAAGAAAAAAGAAGAAGATAAAAACAAGAGTCTTTCATGCAAGCCCTATGTGTGCTTTTTTTGCGGGGGGGTATCAATGAGGTTGTGGAGCAGACGCGGTAACGGGAGATGTAGGCTTCATGGGCTTAGCGTCCTTGACGTCTTTGGCATCCTTGACGCTTGTGATCTCCTTGATGCTCTCATCGTCATCATCGCTGTCGTCCATGTCCACGTTATTCCTCCACTGTGAGAGGGACTCGTTCAATGTTGTCTTGTCGTTCGTAGGCGTGCGCTCAAAGTCGAAGCGGTCGCTCAAGCGGTAGGCCTTGTTGGTGGTTTCCCAGTGGCTTCGGAGGGCATCCAGTTCGGATGCGAGGCTGTCGAGAGCCATCGAGTTGCGGGTAGCAGCAGATCCGGGGCGGGGAATGGCTTCTGGCGTGCTAGAACCATCGTTGTGACTGTACAGCGACTCACCCGAAGCGACGCTGTCATGTCCACGGTGGCGGGCGTGCTCAGAACGAGAGGCGTCACCTGGAGCCTGTGATTGACGACGGTAGTTGTCAACCGATGTTTCGAACTGGTCCAGGAACATTTGCACCCGGCTTTCGGCTTCACGTGCACGCTCTTCCACCTGCGCATGCTGACTGCGGAGCGTTTCAAGGTCAGCCTGGAATTGGGATGCCTGGCCCTCGGCTTGCTTTGTGGCAGCTGCTGCCTTCTCAGCTTCGGCGCGGGCAGAGGCCAACTCGGTTTGTAGTTGAGAGAGCTGGCTCTCGAAGCGAGCAACAGTAGTATCCATCTTCTCCTGCGTCTTTGATAGTTCTGAGCGGAGCGCGGTACGTTCTGCCTCCAGCTCGGCTGTGTCTGTTCGAGCAGGGCTGCGCGCTTCCCGTTTCTTTTGAGCCAGCTCCTCTTCAAGTTTGGAGTTGGCGCTCTTGTAACGGTCGAGCTCCTGCTTCATCTTGGTGAGCATCTTCTCGGTTCCTCGAAGATATTTGACAGCAGCCTGGTGGTCGTTGTGCAGTGCCTGCAGCTTCTCTTCCCATTCCTTGCTGACCTCGTGCTCACGCTCTTCAAATACAGCGCGTAGCTCTTCGTGTGCCTTGTTCATGGCGTCGACCTGTTGCTCGAGTTCACGAACTCGGTTCAACTCTGGCGTGCCAAACCTGGAGTTGGGACTGTCCAAAACCTTTGAGCGACGGGCGTCTACAGGATTGACGCCCCTTTCTTCGAGAAGGTTACGAAGTGTCTTAAGCTGCACCTCGAATGCGTTGCTTTCAAGGCGCAGTCGCTCATGCTGCTGATGAAGTTCAATCTTCTCAGCCTCGGACAGTTGTACATCTCGCATGGCCTGTTGCAGCTGTTTGCGGATGCTGAGTCCCTCGCGGCTGGACTGTTCTTGATAAGCCTCTAGACCGGCAATGCGTTCCTCCGCTCGGCGGAGCTTCTCCGAAGCCTGGTCTGCTGCCGTCTGGTTCTTGCGAGCCATCAAGGTCGCGGTTTCGAGTTGCTGTTTCAGCACAGTGACTCGCTCATCAGCATTTGCACCGTCCTGTTCCGATCGCTCAGTCATGCTCTGCAGACCTGAGAAAACAGTGGCGCGGTGGATGCGTGCTTCCTCTGCGTGACTTTCTGCAAGTTCTTCTGCATCGCGAAGCTTTTGTTGAATAGTTTCCAGCTCGGTCGCGCGTGCTTCATGTTCACTGCGCAATTGACTAAGCTTCTGACGAAGGACGTCGCTCTGCTGTCGCTCCTCGCTGAGTTTCTTCTCCAACAATGTTGCTTTCTCGGTGGACGCGAGAGCAGAGTCGCGTAAAGATTGTATAATGGCACTTTGGGCCTTTGATTCTTCAGAAGCTTTCTCAAACTTGGTGGTCAATTCTTGGTTGTCAATGGCCAGAAGCTTGGCCGATGACTCTGACTCTGCGGCACTCGTGGAGACCTCTCTTGCAATTCGCTCGGCTTCATGAAGCTCGGCACGCAGGTGCTCAGACTCAGCAGTAGCCTTTTGTCGCGTTGAATCCAGCTCATTCACACGTCTCTGTGCCGCTTCTGCCGTCTCTTCTGCCAGCAGTCGTGCTTTACTTTCGGCCTCGATTTGACGCGTCAACTGCTCGACCCTAGTAGTAAGTTCAGCCTGAGCGGCTATGGAAGCCGCTAACCGGCGATTGGCGTCTTGGAGGCGATCAGCATCCGGCGTACTGACGTTCCGCGGTCCATCAGGCTGTGGTGTCCCGTGTCTGCTACTGCCTCCATGAGCAGCCAATTTGGTCTTGGCGTATATGGCTTCACTGACGGCTGCATCTCGCTGTCGTTCCACTTCAGCAATTCTCCTTGCCGCGTCCTCACCCTGGGTCTTGATTGAGGCTTGCACGCGTTCGAGTTCAGTCTTCATCTTTAGAAGTGCTTCTAGCAATGGCTTGTCCTCGTCTCGAAATGAGTCGGCGGATCGTTCGTCAAAGACAGGGCTTGTCGAAGTACCAGCATTGTAACCTGCCCTGCGCGCCAGGGCAAGTTCCGAGGCATACCATGCATTGCGACTTTTGAGATGCTCAAGTTCTCGAGCCAGCTCGTTGTTGCGCGGATCAGTCACTGGTGATGCGTTCTTTGCACTGTCATTGCGCAGGTGCTGAACTTCTTTGACTGGACCACGTTGTTGCTGAGAATCCATTGACGGCCGGACTGATTGGTCTATACTTTCCTGGGAAGCTTGTTGTTGGTGCGACCTGGATGTGTTTCGCGAAACCGTGCTGGCAGACCGTACGGTGTCCATCGACTGCTTGGGGGTTCGTCGGCCGCCAACGGCATCGGAAGATTTCCGTTCCATGTCGCTCGCAAGTGGACTATCCCGCGTTCCTTGCGATACATTTTCTCGATTAGCAGCAGCAGCCGCCCCTATATCGAGAGGAGGACCATGACCACGCTCGTTCTTCGTAGGGGTTCTACTCCTAGCCTTGGCCCCATTTTCTCGTGGCTGTGGCGGTTGCTGAAGTGGTGGCGGGCCTGGCTGCTGACTGGCTGCGCGTGGCAGCCGCGATCCTGCGGACATGGATCCGTTTGTCATGTTGTCTGGAGAAGAGGAAAGTTGTGAGGCGGTCATTACGCTTTCCCGGACAGGGGGTGATCCAACTTTAGGGGGCATGTTTCCTTTTTCACCGCCACTCATTTTTCGTTGAGTGATTGGTGCCTGTTGCTGCTGGGGTGGAGGGGGAGCGCTCTCATTGGGCGGATATCTAATCTTCGAAGTGTCCAGGATGTAGCTGAGACTGAGCTCGTTCTTATCGCTGATGGACGAACTAGGCTCGCCAGCGAGAACAACAATATGTTTTCCGAATGAAGTCATGCTGTGGCCAGATCGAGCTGAGGGAGAATGGCCCATGTTTTGAAACATGTACCAGCGGCGTGACGAAATGCGAAAGGCAGCAAGGTCACCCAGGTCAACGCCTTCTTGGGTGCGACCGCCAAAGATATACATTGTGTCGTTGACCAGGGCGGCAGAATGGCCTTCACGCGCGACGGGGATGTAGCCAATGCAATCAAGTTCAGTCCAGGTGTTTGTGCGTGGGTTGTATGTCCAGACATCGTTGAACCAGGTAATGCCGTCTGTGCCACCAAAGCTGGGATGAGTTAGCAGACAAGACTATGCGCACTCAACAGGCGCGATACGTACAGGTAGAGCTGGTCGTTCCATGTAACGACGGAGTGGTTTGTGCGAGCTTGTGGTGACGTGCCCTGGGGGGATGTCTGTTCCTTGGAGTTTGGCAGCAAGACTTCCCAGCGGCTTGCGGACGACTGCAGCGAGTTGAGGTCAAAGGCGACGAGATCATTAAAGAAGAAGCCCTCGACCTGACCTCCAAAAATGTATATCTTGGAGCCTAGGATGTTCAACGTGTGTCCGTAGCGGCCAGTAGGGCGGGGACCTTGGGGAAGTGCGCGCGACCAGTGTTTGGTTGCTATGGCGTTGTCAGCTACGAGGTAAGAACAAACATGGAGGTGCACAAACAGGTATTTAGAAGATAGAGAGTGTCGTCAAGGTCGTCGTTGTCGGCCAGCTTGGTGTCACCTCCAAACACAATAAACGCGTTGCCAACCAGCAAGCTAGCGTGGCCAACACGAGGCCCAGGGCCGTCTCCGGTGGTGGAGATGGGATAACATGTCATGCTGCCATTTCCCATTTCCGTCAGCCACAAATCGCCCTTGACCGTCGCGCCGCCCACGAGTCCTCCCATGAGATAGATGGTGCCATCTTTCGAGGCGGTGGAATTGATGGCAGCGCCGTATCGAGGAAAGGGATTGCCGGCGGTGAAGTTGAGGCGGCGCGACGACCACGGGTAGGGGGATTCGGAGGCATTGCCGCCGCCGAGTCTATTGTTTGCATTCTGGAGCAGTCAGTAGGCGCACAAACGGAGAAGGAGCGGAGCAGGGCGGACCTGGGCATTGGGGTCCGTCTTCTCACGGAGGGCCTTTTGCTCTGGCGTTGAGGCGTTCATAGAGCCTTGAAGGGAACTCAATGAGTTGTTGACGCTGCCGCTAGGGGTCGTGGAAGGGCCCTGGGGGCCGCCTCGAGGCTTTTCAGCGTCGCGAGCAGGGGCTCCATTGAGCGCAGGTGGCTGCTGTGATGGGCCATGTGCAGATGTGATATCCCTGGTGGCTGGCGGGAGCGCGGTGGTGGCCTGCTGTTGCTGCTGCTTGTTCTTCTTGCCGAAGAGAAAGGACATGGCGGCGGGAGTGCTGCGAGAGCGGAGTTGCAATGGCAGCCCGAGGCCTATCGCGCACGCATTCGGGTTGCGAAGACGGTGGGTGTGGTGGGCGGCGTGGTGGACGCTTGGGGAGAGGAGGAGAGGAGTCTAGGCGGAGAGACGGACGGGGCGCGCGCACATGTCGTCTGTAGGGGCGTTTGGGGGAGTGGTGGTATGGTGATGCAGCAGAGGAAGAGGAAGAGAAGAGGAGACGGGCAGGGAGCGTGTACGGCGCACAGCACAGCAGAGCACAGGGCTGACGTCTGATTTGACTAGATTTGATTTGAGCAGCATTCAGCCAACGAGGAGCGAAATGCGACAACGGTCGGGTGCTGCGTGTACGCCGCAATAGCCTCGTCTCCCTGGCCTCGCTCCCAGAGCCCGCCCTGGCCGTCGTGATCGCATGGCGCACCGCGCCCCCTGAGAAGCGTCCGCGCGCCGATCGCTCTCCCGACGAGGCTAGCCAGTGTGATGCCCGCTGCCATTGGCTGCTTCACCCACCACCTTCGCTATCCAAGAGCCAGGGCCGTCGGCTGCGCGAATGCGAACAAAGTTGCCGCAGTACCCTGCCTGCTAGTGCCAGCAATGCCGACACATGTACAATAGTGTATGTGCGCTTGTGTATGTACTCGATGGTTCTCCGCCCGGCCGTGCCGCCGCCATCTCCCAGTACCGGTGTGTGGTACTCCAATGATGATGATGCACCGCACCGCCATGCCTCTTTGGGACTGGCGCCTTGGCTCTCTTTGCGCCTACAGGTTCGAGTGGGTACATGTGGACATATATAGCGAGCGCCGTTGAAGTCGACTGATCCTCCTGGCGACATTGTTTATCCAGACGTCTTCCTTGCTCCCAAGCACTACCTTGCATGATATCAACATGTCTACTTTTTGCTGACCGCAGGGGCGAGATATCGCTTGTCTTGAGCCATCCTGGCTGCCAAGTCCCCTTGGTTTTTATTTATGGAGAGAATATCGGATACCTGGGCTCGAAAAACTGGTCACTGCGCATCTGGCAAGATGACAAGATGGTCTGACGTTAGGATGGGATGGAAAAATACCGCCGCATGCTAATACTAATCCTCGGCCTACACACAAAACTAAACTAGAAACTAAAAACAGAAAAGAGGGGCGCTACACATGTTGCATAAAACTTACATCAACTTACACTAGCCGTACAGGCAGTCGCGTTTTAAGTAGGTTCGTGAGTACATGCGACGGACCAAAGCTTGCTCAGGTACATGCATCGAAATATCCGGCCTCTTCTTGGGAATACACATGTGATTGTAACCTCAGCTGCATGCGAATCGTCCGATCCATGACGAGTTTTTTACGAGTACCTCCTGGACTAGCACCAAATCACGTGACCGGAACCACCATGTTCCTTCCGCCTACTTCCATCTCTGCCAATACGATACATCATTTCAATCGAACATTACGTAGTGCATTGATGACCAGAATGACTTAATTTTCATCACATATCACCGTATCAGCTTACAGTCACCAAGCTATTCCTTCCATTGGTTTCTCGACTCAAAAGATTTAGATACATGCAATAATAAACAAAATAATAGCCCTGTCACCCTGCATAAGCCACACCGACTTTTAAAATCCCACCAGCCCCATGAAGAAACATTTCTTCGTCCGTAAATGGTTCAATGTGCCGTGTCGAAGATTTTTGTCGATTTCGAGGCCGATGTCCGTAGTCGAAGTTGGTATCGCAGAGCAACAAAGCGCCGAGGGTGACAGGTCGAGAAGAAAAAGAAAGAGCGATTTACTCTTCCTTCCTTTCTTCCTTCCTTCCTCCCCCATCCCCTCTTGATGTGTAAAAATACTTTTTGGAAGAATGGTAACAACCACCAGTCCTCTCTCTCTTTCCCTCGCAACTAGACAAGACTGTTTAAGAGATGGTGCAGCCTGGTCCAGTGGCCGTACCACGAGAGATGGTACATCCCGGGCCTGTGACAACACCGCGAGAAATGATGCAGCCGGGTCCGGTGACTACGCCGCGAGAAATGGTGCAGCCGGGTCCGGTAACGACGCCACGGCGAGAGATGGTGCAGCCGGGTCCAGTAACAACGCCTGCCATTTTGGTTTGGTTGGAGAGAAGAGGTTAAAAATAGAGCTGGAGCGAGAGTTACTTAAGTGATTGAAGGACTGGTGCCTTGTGTGGTAAGGAAGTTGGACTCGAAGGACTTGAAGAACTTATATATGTTTTTTTCAATCCGGACGGAGATCGGACGTCATGAGAAGAGAAAGAAGGGGTTTCCTTTGTGGGATAAAATTGTTCATTGTCGAGTTGTTCTAGATTTTCTTTCTGGTTGCTGCAGTGTTGGCAGTGAGAAAGAGTGGCGGTTACTTCCTGTTGTGTTACTATTGTTCTTGATTCAGTGTACGGAGGCGCTCTCTCCCTTGTCATTGTCGGAAGACTCCCGGTCATCAAAACCCTCTCATAGCACGACTATCGAAAATCTCGAGCCCTGTTCAACCAGGAATCACGATGGCCATGTGACGGACTTGACGTTATTAGAATCCATTAGTTCATACTGGTCGTATGCACATAACGAAGGGATACCTAGGTGTTTAGCAGAGGGGTTTCTTTAAAAGGGGTAAGCTCGTATCCAGAAGGGACCCGGTTAGCATAGTTAGGAGGCTGTGGCTTGAAAATCCACTACTATTGTTCTCGAAGGACACGTCCGTGTGGTCTTGGCAGCCGATTTGGTAAGCATACAGCAAGAACACTCAAGCTCAGAACCTACATGCAGCTATCCATGATGTGCAGAATACACGTGGATTAGAGAAAAGAAGGTTGGTCGCAATTGACGAACGAAGTGGGCCAGTTGTGAATGCATGTGATGGGTGCATGAACAGCTCCGAAGATTAAAGTGGGTCCGGCGGGCGACATCCCATGCTCCACCCACATGTTGTCCAACACCTTCAACGACACATAACACTAAGACAATGGCACCAGCAACAATACTGCGTGTGGCGAGACCAATTACTCGCAGCGGGTACCATGTCCCGCTTCGTCGCTTTCTCCAGACGGCAGCTGCCCCCCATGCTCCCGCATCCGACTTTGCGTTCGCTTTCGAGTAAGGCAGCTCTGCCATCGGTTTCACAACACGGCCACTGACGGCTGTCAGTATCGACGGAGTGCTTCTTAGGAGTGCCGATCCATTGCCCCGAGCCCACCAGGCCCTTTCCTATCTCCAGGCACAGCGCATCCCATTCATCCTACTCACAAATGGCGGCGGGAAACACGAATCGGAGCGAGTCGCCGACCTGAGCAGCAGGCTTAATGTCCCTCTGGATACGTCCATGTTTGTTCAGAGCCATACCCCCTTTGCCGATATGGACCATCTCAAGGACAAGACGGTCATGGTCGTTGGTGGCGAAGCAGACAAGTGCAGAAAAGTTGCTGAGGCATACGGGTATGAAGAATTGCATATTAATGTCGCTATGTGTTCTGACATGTTTACACAGTTTCAAGACAGTGGTCACCCCGGGTGATATCTTGGTGGCTCATCCCGAAGTCTGGCCCTTTTCGCAGCAATTGCTTTCATACTACAAGACGTTTACTCGCCCTCTACCTACTCCCATCGACCCTTCTTCGCCGTCGACATCACTCCGTATCGATGCTGTTTTCGTTTACAACGACCCACGTGACTGGGGCCTCGATGCGCAAATCATCAAAGATGTTTTGCTATCTGAAAAGGGTATTATGGGAACTCTGTCCAAGAAAAACGGCAATGATGCCCTGGAGAATCGTGGCTACCAACAAGACGGACAGCCTACCGTTTACTACTCTAATCCAGACTTGCTCTGGGCCGCAAAATACCACCTTCCACGTCTGGGTCAAGGAGGTTTCCGTGAAGCTTTTGAAGGCATTTGGGCAGCAGTGACTGGTGGCGAGGCAAAGGGCGTCAAGTTGCATAAGATTGTCATGGGGAAACCACATCAACCGACCTATGAGTTTGCTGAAAAGCGACTTATAGCACATCGCAGTCACCTGATGAAACAGTACGGCGGAACTCTTGACCATCTCAAGCGAGTTTACATGGTTGGCGATAATCCAGCTAGTGACATTGCTGGTGGCAACAACTACAAGAGTCCGTACGGCACCGATTGGGCTAGTATATTAGTAGAAACGGGCGTCTACGTTAAAGGCACCAAACCATCACCTGAACCACGCAAGATTGTGGGTGATGTATGGGACGCCGTGGCGTGGGCTATTGCACAAGAACAAGGAAAACAAATACCTTGAAGCCGAACCATGTATCATCTAGATTTATAAATCTAAATCTACTAGATTGCTCTTTGGCATCATTGAACTATACACACTTGAAGCTCAAAACCCTTATATTCGCCTTTGCCATAACCTAAACTCCTATCTTCGTTACCTTTATACCCATTGGATAAACCTAAATAACAATTAGCGATCGACTCGAACATTTTAGACCAGGAAAAGAAAGAAAGAAAGATATACTCACATGAGCTCTCCCGGGCCAAGACCCGCAGTATTTGCCACAGGCTTATCATCCTTGATAATCCCCGTCTTGACATCCCGCGCATAAATCGCCACATTGTTACTCTTCTGATTCGCAACCGCAATCATGGAGCCATCCTTGCTGAGCTGGAAGTGGCGCGGAAAGTAACCCCCAGATTTGGCCAGCTGGACAAATTTTAGTTTACCGTCCGCCGACGGCTTGTACGTGACAATCGAGTCACTCGGGACTTTTGTGCTATTCTTGGGATCCGGGTTGTCGACGGTGAAGATGGTGCCGTTGCGGTTTCCAGCAAGCACAAACGCATTGTCGGGGGAGATTGAGATTTCCGAGGCGGACAGTTTTTTGTTGGGGAGCGTGGACTTGCCGTAGGTGCTTACTTCGTCGACGGGTGTGAACTTGATGCCGGCGTTGTTGGCGAGGTAGGTAGCCTTGTAGCTGATGATTTTGTTGGCCAATTCGTAGACGACGAAGAGGAAGGTGGAGCCTGATTGCTTGGAGGTCCAGAAGGCGGCGTGGCGAGGGCCGTAGCCGGTTGGGGAGACCAGAGAGTCGCGTTGGGTTAGTTGGCCGGTGGTGGGGTTGATGGCGTAGACGTGGACGCGGTCGGCGCCCAGACTGGGGAAGATCATGTACTGTCCTGTTGGGTCGAGGACGGCTTGGTGAATCTTTTCTGGGTCGGCGAAGGTGATGTTTTGGAGGGACTGAAGGGGGCTGTTGCCGTGTACGGAGTAGGAAGATATTGCTGGAGGTCCATACTGTTGATGTGAGGTTAGTATAGAAGTACGGGTAAGAAACTCTGTCTTATACGGATAAAAGGCACTTACGTGAGCGAGTGCTATAGCCGACCCGTTGTTATAAACTGCTGAAGATACAGCACCGCCCAGCGCAGGCGAACTGGAAATCTTCTTCAGACTACCATCGGCCTGGAGATTGAATGTCGTGATGTTGGCATTGCCTGATTCATCCAGACAGATGACCTTATTCGAACCGAGGCTTGTATCGAGCCAAGTAGGAAGGGGACCGCATTCTTGGCTGTTGTGAATAACCTCCAGCTTGCGGCTGCATTTAGAACCAGTGCTGGGATAGAGTTCGAGAGTTGTAACGGCGCCCAGATTCGAGCCGGTGCCATAAGATGCGAGGAGGAGGCGCTCAGCGGCCGCCGATCCTAATAAAGCTAGCGCGGTGATAGTCGCCTTCATGATGTGGGAGATTCGAACTTCTGGGGCTGTCCGAGACAAAAAAGGAACAGGAGGGCAGTGTGGATTCCTTTTATCTGCGCAAGCAAGAAAAAGTAGTGTGAATTGGGCTAATTTGGCCAACCCCGGGAAATAGCCCTCCAAGGAAAGGGGACTTGTACCAGTGTCGCAGGCGACTTAAACTTTATAAGTGATCTGCAAGGGTGAAGACTTAAAACAATCAATTATCGGACAAAAACCCCGCCAGTCTACCTAGGTACATCCAATGGCTTGGCTGTACGCGCGAACTACACGGTAGAGTAGGAATGTCATCCGTGCCGTGTTATATGATTTATAGCTAGGGAGTGGTCCTACAAGTATGTCAGCTCCACAGTCGCTCATGTTTTGCTAATATCCGACGGCTTTGCTTCCCGTCAGAATTGTTAGGGCCGGAATTTTGCATAGCGAAAAAGGACCGATGGCAAGCAAAGGGTGAGAAATGACATTGAAGTAAGCAGGGATCGTGCTAGGCGCTCTGGCTTGGCAGGTATAGTCGAGTGTGAAGGCCTGCCATGTTGTGCAGTACCTTGATGTTATTCCTTGGGCGGCATATAGCAAACTTCCCACTGGTTTGCTGTCCGCTGTGACCACCGTGAATTCCGTGCTGTAAGTCTATCTATCGATTTCCATAAACACAACCCCGGTCCGAGCCGGGTAGATTAACAGTCCGGGTGTGGAGTAGCACATGTCTGTTGCGGAGAGAATGTGTGTGGGGCTGGCATCCTGGACAAGTAACTTGTCCTTTGTTGCATCTCGAAAAGCAAATCGTCCGTCGATGTGCAACCTTGTGCCTAGCTTCAATAGGTGGTTTAATTGTCGCGCAACGGCGCGTCCACGTGCAGGAATGACTAGCGTGACGGCTTGTGCATGGTGTTTCCCCAAGCTCGGGTTTTAGCAAGGAGATAAGCGCAAACAAACCTACGTGCTAGTGCGTCATCTCAACCGCACGCTTGCGCTCAACGCTCTCCAGGAACATCACTTACGCGATAGTTTCATATCTCATATAACAACCGGATCAGTAAGCTATGGCTGCGTGTAATACGGGAAACTATGCCAACTACCTGCCCGA